CCCGCCCCCGCCCCCACCAGCCTTCTATCTGCACCATCCCACACTGTGCCATGAAGGTAGGTAGCTGAGACTGATTGGGAAAAGGCTGGTTTGACAGGGACCTGTGGGTGCCGTGGGCATATGGACCGAAGGGCAGAAGGGAGGCCACTGGAGGCCTCTGCAATAGACATCCCTGGGACCCTTCTTGGAGATGCCATGTGTGGGGGGGTCCTTTTCCCTGCTCCTTCCCTCCCCTTAACCGTGTCCATTTAAGGAAAGCTAGTCCCTGGCATCCTCTGTATTGCACACATGGGGAACCCTAGCTGGAAACCACATAACAGGTCTGGCTCCAAAGCTGGGCCCATCTGCCAGTACTTCCTGCTGGGCTGTACTGCTGCTTGGGATAGGCCAGGAAACCAACACCTTCCTTCCCTAGGTGTCATCATGGTCTGCTTTGTTTAACCTGCCATGTAAGGGACTATGTGTGTGTGTGTGTGGTGAGGGGGTGGGAAGGGGGGGCGGCAAGTCCTCTGTCTACCTGCCCACCTGGGACTTTCTGTACCATATGGTCCTGTGCGGTGGGAGGCTGAGCTGAGAAATAGGGCAGCAGCTCCAGGAGATGAGGTTCTGAGTGTGGGGTGGGGGGGCCTCCCCAAGTGCCCTCCAGGCCCTTCCTCTTCCTTTGCGCACTCCCTTTCTTCTTAGGATTTGGGCCCAGGGAGGCCCCTGGGTCACCCCCCACCCCCCTATAAAATGGGCTGTGGACCTCAGCTTGCTGGGGTCTAATATTAGTCTGGAGTGGGGTGCTTAAGCAAGAGGTCCCATCCCCTGGGGTAGGAAGGTGGGGGCTGTGAGAGATCAGATCCTCCAGCCCTGGAAGGCAGCAGCCCCTGGGGAAGGGGGCGACAGCTGTGGTGCGGGGCCAGGAACCTGACACCAGGGGTGGGCCCCAAACGCCCTCCAGGAGCAGCAGCAGCCTCAGACCTTAGGAGTGTGACTGTCTCTGCCACAGCCTGCTGGTCAGGCTGATGGCGTTTCCTTCCATTTTTCTTTGCCTGGGGCTCTCCCCACAGGCCCTACACCACTCCGGAGGCTGCCAAGGGCCAGGGCAGCCCTTTCCCTTGGGTCCATGGGGGAGGGGAGCTGGGAGAAACCCTCCCTGGTTCTGCCTTAGGGCCTCTAGGCTTGAGCATGGCTTACACTCTTAGGCCAAGTTAACCTCTGAGCCTGTCTCGTCATCTGTAAGCTGAGCCTGGCCTGTAGTGGGCCAGTGCTCTATGCCAGGCAGCTCTCCATCCTGGCTCTGGCTCTAGCTCCCCTCTTCGGGGCTGGAGGAGGCCCCACCAGTCAGTCCTCACTGTTCTGTGGTCCCCAACCTCTCAGTGTATCTCAATGCCCGTGCCCCACAATAGGCTCTGAGCGGGTCCAGCATCAGTGTTTTTGAAAAGCTGCTCAGAGGATGCTAGTAGGGACCAGGGACCAGGTCAGGTTACACAAGTGGGCAGAGCCTCTCCTCTGGGGGCAGGAATAAGAAATGGCGGGGGAGGGGGCAGAGAAGGTGGAGGAGAGAAGAAAAGTGGAGAGAAGGAGGAGAAGGAAAATGAGGGAGGGGAGAGGGAGAGCATGGGCGAGTTGAGGGAAGATGAGGGAGGAAGGGGAGTGGGTGAAGAGGGAAGACAGGAGGGCCCACTCATCTGGCAGCTCCTGTCTGCTCCGGGTGGTTTACCTTTTGCTGAGAAGGGAATCTGACTTTCAAGGCTGCAGTCTCTCCTGGAGCTGGGCCTCCGCAGGCCTGAGCCCTCAGAGTGAGGGTTTACTCATGGAAAGACCACTGCCTGCCCGTAGTGGCACTGTACTCTGTGCCAGGCACCAGCTCAGCACCAGGGTCATCTCGTCTCCCCAGTGACGGCCCTTAGGGTTACAGCACCCAGCTTGTTGGGGGTACAGCCAGGACCCCCCAGTCCAACCTCACACCACCATCACACTTCACAGATCCGTCTGGTGACAAAAGGACCTCAGCATATGAAAAGTAGAGTGAAAACGAGAAAGGCCGTCCAGCCCGCATGGGGATCTGCAGGAGGCCTGGTGTCCTCGGGCCGCCTGAGCCCCGGGAATGTGGTGGAAAGAACCCTGCGCACCCTCCCCAGGGTCGTGTGGGGCACAGCGTGGGGGAACTGGGTGCCTGGTGTGCCAACCCATGTGCACACCTGTGGGTGACAGAGGGCCTGTCCCGGGTCCCCAGCGATGGGCACGGTCTCCTTCCCCAGCTCTGGACAGGAGCCTCAGATCAGAGCTGGGTTTCCCTGTGAGAGCCCCGCACCCCCAGGCCTTCACACTGAAGCTTGAGGAGCCCGAGGCTGTCCGGAAACAGTCACAGGTTTTGCAGTCACTCCGGCCTGGATGCCCTGCCTCGAGGGGACGGTGGAGCCTCTGACTGAGGAAGGGCTGGAAGCGCCCAGAACTGGAGCTGAGTCCTCACAGCCCTGACTTGGGGCAGCGGCAGCGACCCTCTCACTGCCTCGTCCTCACCCTCCAACCACCTCTTTCAGAGAGGAGGTGACTCTTCTTGCCCGGCCTACGAAGTTGGTGGTGGGAGATCAGGTCGGACAGCTGATCCAGGGCTCTCTGCCCAACACCACACCCAGTCCTCTTGGTGGTGGGCATGGGTTTTCCTTGGGACCACCCCTCCTCGGGCTGTGAACAGAAAGGAGAGCAGATACCAGGCTCAGAAAATGGGTCCCAGCACAGGAAGGTGCTCTGGCCCAGGAAGACAGAAGCCCTAAATGCACAGGGCCCAGCTCCTCGGGAACCCGACCAGCAGCCAGGGACGTCTTAGGCCGGGAAGGCCCGTGTGGTGGGCTCACCCAGGAACAGGTGGGGCTCACCCAGGAACAGGTGGGGCTTACCTAGGAACAGGTGGCTACTGAGAATCGAGTAAATTCCAAAGCTTGTGAACTATCTCTCGTATTTACATGGTTTTATACAGAAGAACTTGGAGAATGTGCACAGTTCCCTATAAAGACAGCACTCCTGTCCGAGTGCTAAAGTGCTCTGAGGAGGAAGTGAGGAAGGGGCAGCATCCCTGGGCACCCAACCAGCACCCAGCGTTCTGATGGGGTGACTGGAGCCCAGAAGCGGAAGGGCCTTGCCCAGCGTCACATGGGATGGGCTCCAGGGGCTGGACCACTGCTCCAAGGCCGCCCTCCTGTGGGCCTGCCAGTCACGAATGGAAGGGCTTTGGGGACAGGTGGCCACGTCAGGCCTCCCCGTCACCCTCGTCCTCACTGGTGCAACCCTCGGGCACCACCGGGTCCTGGGCTGCCCGAGTCTCCAAGTACTCGGCCTTGAACTGCTCCAGCTCCCGCAGCTCCGCCTCCAGCCGCTCCCGGTGGACCGCCCGCAACTGCTGCAGCTGTTTCATAGGAAAGGGGTTCATGTCGTTGAAGGCGATGCTCATCAGCTTCCTGGGGGGAGAGCACAGTTAGCCGAGAGCACAGTGTCCCAGGGCACCCGCACTCACAGTGCCTCCCCAGGCAGGCCTGCAACCACTCTGCCCTCATGGCTAGGGCCCCTGGCCCCTGCCCTTGGGGAGCTCACCTTTCAGGGAGGAAATGGTAAAGAGACAGTTTTGACTCAAAGTCATATGTTACTGAGGCAGGAGGAAGCTTGGGGCTATGGGGGCTCTGACCCACTGAGGATAGGCTGGTCAGGAAGGCTTCCTGGAGGAGGTGACATACGAGCAGGTGTGGTGGTGGGAGTGGTGGAGAGAGCAGGGGTGGGTTCTCACCGGCTGTTGAAAATGGTCTTGGTGAAGAAGCGCAGGTACTGGTAGATCTCCAGGCTGTCCTGTAACCTCAGGATCTCCTCCTCGGTGTACTTGAAAATGGCCAGGGCATAACGGAACACCACCTGGGACCAGGTGGGGGCTCAGGAAGGGCATGGGGGCCAGGGCAGGTTATCCCCAGAGGGAGAACACACACACCAGGGTGGGAGGCCCTGGATAGGCTGCAGAGGTTGAGAGCTTGGAGGCGACGTGTGCAGGGAGGCCACGGGGGAGGGGAGCTTGGACTTTGGGGATTGGGGCTGAGTCCTGGCTCTACCCTGATGGGGGTAACACTGTCCTTCCATGGGGCACTAGCAGGAACTGATGAAATGGCAAATCCCAGGGTCCTGTGAACTGTGCAGTGCGTATGTCATCAACCACCGAGTGGAAATGGGTGGATGGTGGGGGAGGGCCTGCCCAGGATCGCCCAAGAGCCGGGACCAGACCCAGTGCCAACCTCCCAATCCAGGGCTTGGTCCACGGGAGCAAGGAGGGGCCCAGGTGACGGGAGTGGCCATAGACAGAATAGGGATGTGCCTCCTGGGTCGTGCTCAGGCTTCCTCTCCGGGAAAGGAACCTCCATCTTTAGGAAGCATCTTGGGAAGCAGAACCGCTCCCTCCCATGTGTGCAAAGCACATAATTTACAAAGCCAGGCTCCCAGCAGATGTCCTCAGCCTGAGAGGGTCACTGTCCGCCCATTTTCCAGGGGCAGAATCGAGACCCAGGGGTGATGGTTCTGCCCAGGGCCCCTTGCTCACCCTACCTTGGTGCCTTCGTACAGGAAGGCGTCCCAGACCTGGAAGAGGATATTGCTGATGAGACTGTCGGCAAAGACCACGAGGAACCAGTTGAAGGTGATGAAGGAGAGGTCCACACGGAGCTGCCCCAGGTGGGCCATCAGCCTGGGCAGCTTCTCTGAGAGGAGGTCCTGGAGCACCCGCTGGTCCACCTGGCGGCCGACGAGGGGGCCCGTCAGCTGCTGCCCTGGGAAGGGGCTGCCTCCTTTCCCTCCTGCCCCCCTACCCAGCCACACAGTCCTGGAGCCTCAGCGTGGGCCCCGCCCTGCCCCCAGGGGTGAGGGGGGGTTGTGCGGAGGGGCTCAGGCAGCCTGGCTGGGAGAAGGCACAGCAGCACTTCACTCGCTGCTCTCAGGCTGCAGTGCAGGCTTTGCCATGGAGGTCTCTGTGGGATGGTAAGGTCATGGACAGTGGAGTTCTGGCCCCTTTATCCTCTGAACCTCAAGCCAAGCAGCTCAGCTTGTACCAGCTGATGCCACAGCTGCTTCTCTATACCCACTTGGGCCTGAGGCACAAGATGCTCTGAGCATGTTTGGGGGGAGTCACACTGTCCTGCTGCCCCGGACATCAATGGCTGCCAGTGGCCTCTCCGAGTAGTCACTGTCTTGCCTCCATCCTTGTTTTACGTGACCCTGCTGATTACTCCCAGCACTGGCTTCTTCCCAGGCTCTAGGACAGTGGTTCTCAACCTTGGCTGCACATTAGAATCACCTGGGAAGCTTTTTAAAATCCTGATTTCTGGGCCTCAGATGAGCCCAGGTGATTCTAATGTGCAGCCAAGGTTGAGAACTACTGCTCTAGGACATGGTTCTTTTCTGGTTGACCTTCCACCTCCAAGACAGGCCCATTAAGCCTCCTGCGGCTCTTGTTTTCCTGTAACCCTGTTTCTCAGCCCTCTCCTCCACGTAAGTCCTCTTCCAGGTGTTAGCTGTTGGCCATGGCTACACGCGCCCCCATCCCCCCCCTTCCTTCCATCCTCTCCCAGGATCCCAGGTCCATCCACTGTGAAGGCCTAGAGTCCAGCTCAAAACCTAGGGTAATTCGCTCAATCTAAGATGCCACTGAACCTTCTGAAGGATGAACTGATATGATGTCTGAGATTTACTTCAAGGTCATCAAAGGACGAGTGGGTGGAGGTCTAGTGAAACAGCACTGGCCTGTGGGAAAGGGAGCCAGCTCCTGCCTTCCACCCTCTGTTGCCTCCAGCCTGGGCCACGGCCACCCTGGGACCACATGATGAGCGGGGGGATGAAGGCCCACGCCAGGATGGCAGAGCAGAGGGCCAGGAGGAGCCTTCAGCTTTGTCATTACCTGAGAAGAATCCCCCCTGTAAGCTGCTGCGAGCTGGGCTTTCCTGCCAAACATCCTCACCCGATTCACCGCCTACGTCTGATTGACCTGTCTACTCCACACCTGAATACCCATCCCTCCTGCGCGTCCTGCACCAGGTGGATGTCCCAGAGGAGGAATTGGAGTTGGGAGGAAAACAGAACAGGATGGACGGGCAGATAATGGCTTGGCGGGTTTGGGGCTGGGAGTGAGAAAGTTCCCTCTAGGTGGCCTCTCTCCACAAAAGAGATGGTGCTGACGCAGCAAGAACAGGGCAAGGGGTGAGGCGGGAGAGCAGGCGAGGTGGGAGAGTGGAGATGGGAGGCTTGAAATGGCTTCATTTACACCCCTCAACAAACCCAGGCAGTAGTGCTCCTCCCATTCAAAAGTGGACAAGCCTGGGGTCAGAGAGGTGATCTCACTTGCCAAGGCCACACAGCTGGACACTGGAGAGTGTGGCTCTCAGTTCACTGGACTCCAGGCCCAGCCTGTGCTCAGCGGACAGCTGAGGCGAGATGATGGAGGCAGCTGTGCTGCACGGTAGGGAAGGATGAGTGTGTGTGAAGAATCACCACCACCTCCATCCTCCCAAGCCCATCTTCCACCGTCCTGACCTCTATTTTGAAATGTTTTACTGGCAAATAGCAACTGACACTAGATTTTCTTCTCTGCTCCCCAGAAAACCAACCATTTCTAATGTCACCACTGGAATAACAACTGTCTTCTGTGGACAGGGACTCCACAATTCTAAAGGTCGTCAGCTCACCAGCACTTCCTAGCAGTCCCAGTGAGGGGCTACTGGCCCACTGTACAGAGGGGTAAATAGAGGCCTGAGAGATTCCTGACTTTTCTGAGACTCACTGGCTTGTAGGAACAGCTCGGGCTGACCTGCGTAACTCCAAGCCCCTCCCTGCCTTGCTTACCTGGGACGCTGTCAGCGTCTTGCTGTAGTAATCAGCTGGCATGATGGTCTCCACGATGGCCACCAGGCACCAGAAGGCACTCTCCTCTTCACCCAGGACCAGCAGAGCGATGGCTGCCAGCCTGTGTGGGAGGGAAGGAGGCCAGGAGTGATAGAGGTGGCTCCCTGGGTCCCAGGAGGAAGTCCTGCCCCACCCCACTCCCTAGCCAGGCTGCTGTTTTTGGCACCTGGGGTGAGAAACATGCTTTTGGGGAGTACTACATCGGGGATTTCCACAGCAAGGGGGATCAGCTTAGAGCAGGAGCTGTGAAGTCTGGTTGCCTGGGTGTGAATCCTGGTCCTGCCACTTCCTTGCTGGGTGACCCTATGCAAGTTACATAACTTCTCTGAGCCTCAGCAGCCTCCTAATAATCACAGGACTGTTAGGAGGATAAACATAATTAACACATGTTAAATACCCAGCACAGTGCCTGACACGTGGTGAGTGCTTTCTTTATAACAGTTAACTATCCTTATCTTTAAAAAAACAAACATATTTTTATAGATTTCAGAGAGAAAGGGAGAGGGGGAGAGAGAAACACCAATAATGAGAGAGAATCATTGATTGGCTGCCTCCTGCACACCCACACTGGGGCTCAAGCCCACAACCCGGGCATGTGCCCTGACCGGGAATCGAACCGTGACCTCTTGGTTCAAAGGTCGACGCTCAACCACTGAGCCACACCAGCTGGGCTAGCTATCTCATCTTAATATCCACAGGCTTTGAGACCTTTGCAAGTGTGCAAACCTCTCTGAGCCTTCCACCTGTGCAGTGGGATTACTACTACCTGCCTCCCAGGGCTGAGAGGCATCTGGAGTGAGAAGATAGCCCTGACAGTGCATGGCTCGCTGTCTGGCATGTACCAGGTGCTCAGTTCATGGAGATCGTTTTCTCATTTGCTTCCCCTCTCCCCTAAAGTTTTCACGGGGCTCCAATGGGATCCTGGGTAATGAAAAACCACAGTGCTGAGCAGGGAAGTCTGCCTGGAAAAAGTACTGTTTTCTCTACTTCTCCCATCTTTCCTGATGTGTCCTCCAGGGCCAATTCAAGAATACATTTTCCAAAGTGTCCTTGTCTGTCAGGATGCTGGGTTGACACAAGGTCACGTGTTCAAAGATGTTTAGGGCATGCTGCACACTCTAGCTCCCTTCTGGAGGCCATGATACACAATCTCTTAGCAAGGCCTTTGAAATCCTACAGTGAAGACACCTCGTGTGACCTTCTAGCCAAGGCTGTCCAGGGGGCATCGGGCTCCTTTTGACAGCGCACCCCATGAGCACCCTTGGCAGTGTTGGGAAGGCTCACATTCTCGATGGGCACACAGCACATTTCAGTGTCCAGATGTTTATGCTTCTCTGGGCTTTTACTGGATTGGATTCAGGACCTCCAACCTCTTCTCAGGTTCATATTTTTTAAAGAAACAGGGTCAATTCTCAAAAGAAAAAAAAATCCTTTTATCCCTCCCATAGACTCAGAAAGACTCTCTCTTCATTCTGGCTAAAATACCTGTACAAACCCTCATGAGTCTGAGCTGAGTGGATGACAGTCACAGGTCTCCTGGGAAAGAGAGAGCCCTGCCCTCTCAGAGATGGGGAGGGTAGAGGTGGGTTCAGAGGTCATATGGGATAGCAAATGTACACTACCCTGGCCACCACTCCCTTTGACTATGCCCAGGGCAGACATAACTAACTGGTCATGGCACTCTTCCCACTGAGTATGGAGGCTGCCTCAGAACTCTCACAAGACAAGGCTCCAGGCAGCGACGTCCTACCAATCTAGATAAATTCATTGCCGACACCGTAAGACTGAGGCCCAGGAAGCAAAAGTGACCTGCTCAGGGTCACACGGTCAGTTGGAAGCAGAGTGGAAAGAGAACCCAGGGCTCCCCAAGTCCATGCCGGTGTTCTCTCCACCTCACCCCATTCATTAGAGCCTGGATGTGCTCAGTCCTGGAGCTGGCTGCCACCATCGGCTCAGATTGCTGCACATTAAAAGGTCAGTGATGAGAGGCTACTGCTACCAACTAGGGCCTATGAACTGCTCAAGGCCGCAGCCAGACCTAAGGCATTTAGAGCCCAGTGGGTCTGCAAAGAAGGTAGTATGGTAATGGGGGGTGGGGGGAGAATGGGACACAATTTTTAGCACTCTGCTTATAGTTTAAAGGGAAATGGCTTTAAAATGTTTGCTCTAAATTAGCACTAAATCATTATCATATCTATCACCCTCTAAACAGGCAGGATTTGTTGCATATACTAGTAAGCAGTGTCTGTCCTCCACAGGATACACACAGTTCCCACAGTGACCACTAGATGGCGGCACTCAACAGTGAAAGGGTTTAAGAGCCTTTGAAGAATAAGCACCACCCTCTACATTAAAACAGGTTCTACTACGATTAACTTCCTATTTAAAGCACTCACATGGATATTTTTCTAAATACCAATAATCATTTTTAAAAAAAAGCATTCAGAGAAAGAAGTAAAGAAATACTGTGTGTGTGTCACCCCTCTCTGGGCCTCAGTTGCTCCTGTGTCCCCCCTCTTTCCACACAGGGAGAAGCATCTTTCCTTGTGACTTACCTGTAACCCCTTTCTGCTATAGGAGTTTGCCTGCCTCTTCAAGCACCGATGAGCTGTTCTGCGTTTAACTCAGAATTCCCAGTAATTGTACATGTATATACTCAATTTTACTCAATTTAGACTGGAAATAAAGTATCAGAAATATCTACCCATGGGAACCATTTGCATGTGAGTAGGGACAGTCTCAATGTTTAATCTGTGTTGAATAAATGTCACACCAACTATCGGAAAAAAGAGCAGAATGGCTTATGTAAATTTTGCTTGTGTATGTATGTTTCAAGTGAGTCAAAACTTGCTTTGGGAAATATCTGAGAGTGTGCAACTTCTCCTGAGATGACTGGGGCATCCATGAGAGCCCCCACAGTACTGAGGGGGCAGCCCTACCGAGGCACCCACCTCCACCCCCGATCTTCTGCGTATTGGTATAAGGAGAAATGAATCCAGGCTGGGCCCATCGGATTCCTTCCTTTGGGAATTTATATCTGGGACAGGAGGGCATGGACAGAAGGGAGACCCATTGAAAGGCTCTAGGCTCAGGGCCTGAGGTCTCCATTCCGACAGCCTCCACAGGCCCTAAATGTCCACGGAATGATGGACAGAGAGGCTGGTCTACTGAGAGAGAAGAAAGCAGAAATGTGGAACAAGAAGCCACAGACCACGCAGCCCCACGGGGGACTGCAGAGCAGTACTCTCTCAGCTGCACAATCACAGGGACCTGGTCCCCATAGAATGCGGGGTGAATGGGGTGAATGATGCCCCCTGGGGCTGTGCAGTTGCCTCGGCTTCCAATGACCATGTGGTCTGTAGCTCTATTTTCTTTTCCTGGCTTGTGTGAGGTTCCCTGTAACATTTGCAGATTCTCTTTTCCTTTGGCTCTGTTTGAAGCAAATGATCCCTGACCCAGACAGTTCCAGAAGCTGTGAGCTGTGCTTGCACAACACAACTCCAGGGGACTGGTCATGCTTTCCCTGGGGGTGGCACTCCCTGAGCACAAACCGAAGCAGAGCGCATGGGATGAGGAGCCCCGAGCTCTGGCCCTCTGTCCTGAATGTGTCTCTTCACTGCTTGTCCCCATCTGTACAGTGGGGATCATATCAAGCCTCCTGGGCTCACCTCTCCAGGTTCTGGGAGGCTCCAAAGAGACAGGGGGCTGCTCTGAAGGACAAAGGCTCTGTCCTCACTGGGGCCTTGGGGCTCACCTGTTCAGGCCCTGGCAGTAGCCGATGGAGGGGTTCTGCCAGGAGAAGGCCAACAGCACCCGGCGGAGCTTGTCGGGGAAGCTGGAGGTGGGACAGGTGAAGTGCTTGTTGTTGGTGAAGGTACGGTTCAGGTCCAGCTCGATCTGGCGGGCAGCAGGGTGCTTGCAGGTCTGGCTCCGGCTCAGCAGCTCCTGGTAGCGGCCAGGGGCCTGCAGGTGCTGCACGCGGCGGTGGACCAGCCACCTCCAGACTCGAGGCCGGTGCTCCCGGGACACGCCCATCCGCAGCAGCTGCTTGAGCTCCACGGAGGGTGCGAGCTCACCCAGGGCAGCCCAGCGCTCTCGCAGGGGTCGCTCCATAGCCTCGTGGGCCAGCAGGTGGTGGGAGCGCACCTCCAGTGCCTGGATCTTGGCCAGCAGCTTCAGGTCTTCCACCTCGTAGTTGGGCACCGTCTGGAAGCCATACTCATCATACTCGCTGCCAGGAAAAGCCCATGTTAGCAACCCCTTGCAGATCCCTTCTCCAGATAAGGGGCAATGGGGAGGGGTACACCCTGGGCAAGGCTCCTGCCTGTTTCACTTCCGGTTAGCCATGCAGCTCCGACAGGTCACGCAGTTCTCTGTACAATGGGTAGAGAAACGCCTGCTCTGCCTCATAAAGACCCACTGAGATCCTATGTTACTAACTGCTGGGGGCCTACAGTGCCTGGCCCAGAGCAAGTGCGTGAAGAGACATTTACTCTGTGCAAATATAAAGGATCCTCTTATTACTTCATGTTGCCTTCGCCCCAAGGAGTCTTGCGCTGTCAATATAGAACTCCACTTCCACAGCCAGTAAGCCCCAAATGGATGGGGCACAGACAGCATCAACGCTAACCAGAGGTGGGAGGGCTGGGGATCCATTCCAGATGGCCGTTCACTTATTCACCATTTGCCCTTGTGTGGGCTCTGCACATGCTATCTCATTGAACCCTAGTACTCTTGCAACCAGGGTCATACACACGTGTGGAGGCTACACATGAGGCTCTGAGAGGTAAAGTGACTTGTCTAAGGTCACACAGTGAGAGACCCAAGTGTGGCTTCAAGACCGGGGCTCCCAGCCACAGTGCCGCCTGTTACATTTAACTGTCCTTGTCCACTGGGCTCAGGGGAGGCAGCTGGCTTATCCCTTCTCCTCCCCTTTCAGACAAACCTCTGGGGGGCATCCTGGGAAAGTGGAAAAAAACACACGGAGCTCTGGAGGCAGACCCAGGTCAGCTGCATTAATGTGCTGTGTGGCCTTGGCAAGGGGCTGTCTGCTCTGAGCCTGCACTGCCTCAGCTGTAAAACGGGGCCCATCCCAACCACACGCTCATTTACCTGAAGATACAAGGAGGTAAGAAATGTGCAGTGCCACGCACAGTCAGCAGGGCAGCTGGGACCCCCAGGCCACCCCAGCCAGCCCTGGCCTGGCCACCGCTGGGCTCACCTGATGGGGCTCAGCTCAACACTGTCAGCAGAGGCCTCGCTGGCTTCCCACTGCAGCGCCTCCTGGATGAGTTGCCTGAGCAGCTCTGCGCACTCGCTGCCCTGGTTCCCCATGGCCTCCTGCAGCCTCCGCAGCCCTGCCAGGTACTTGCTCTCCACCTGGCAGTTCTTGGCTTGGAGGTAGGCACACTGTGGGGGGTGGGATGGAGGTGGGGGCTGGTCAGGCCACTTGGTTGGGCTTGGCTTGCCCCAGAGGCCTGAGGCCCGAAGAGCTTTAGGCAGCACAGCCTTCTCCCAGCTCTCATCTCCCCTCCCCTCCCTACCCCCAGCCCTTCATATAGGGAAGGGAGATGGGCTCTGAATCCAAGGCAGGAAAGGCTCCAGGAAAGGGAGAACTGGCCCAGGACAGGAGCTGGATTCAGCAGGAGGGGAGGGGTGGGTAGAGACAGCAGAGATTCCTTTATGGCTTGCGGTCCTGTTCTGGTTCAGCTATTGCTGGCTGGGTGGCCTATGGCAAGTTAACTTCTCTGTGCCTTCGCTTCATCTGAGCAATGGGGATGACACAGATCTGCCTCAGGATTGCGGTGAGGCTTCGAGGGCACCAGGCCTAGAGCAGGCTGCCTGCACTGAGCTGTAGGTGTATCACCGAGCAGTGCCCGGGGGACAGACAGGGAGCTCTGGACACTGCTCCTGTGCCTTCTGCTGCCACATGGGCTCTTCCTGCCCCTCCAACACACCACCTCTCTCCCACCTCATGGGACACACACTGCACACCCTTCCTTTGCTGCCTTTCCCTCTGTACCTGTGCGATCAGAAGTGGCAATCAGAGCACAGTTTGAGGGAGAGTAGACAGGTAATGAGGAGGGAGGGAGAGTAGACAGGTAGTGAGGATGGAGGGAGAGTAGACAGGTAATGAGGAGGGAGGGAGAGTAGACAGGTAATGAGGAGGGAGGGAGAGTAGACAGGTAGTGAGGAGGGAGGGAGAGTAGACAGGTAATGAGGAGGGAGGGAGAGTAGACAGGTAGTGAGGAGGGAGGGAGAGTAGACAGGTAGTGAGGAGGGAGGGAGAGTAGACAGGTAGTGAGGAGGGAGGGAGAGTAGACATGTAATGAGGAGGGAGGGAGAGTAGACATGTAATGAGGAGGGAGAGTAGACATGTAATGAGGAGGGAGGGAGACGCGTGAGATGGTGGAGACTGAAAGGGTGGCGGGAAGAGAGATAGCCAGAAGAGGGGTCCCCCCTCTCACCTTCATCAGGAGGGTCCTCTCCTTCTCAGCCACCTTTCTCCAGATCTTTGTCACCTGGTGGATCTCGGAATTGAGGAAGCGGTTCTGGGTCTGGTACGCTTCCATGTCATCCTGAAGAAGAGGGCAAAGCAGCTAAGGACTTGCACTGTAAACATCCCCCTGGGTCTCACCCTCAAATGAGCCGCCAACACTTCCTTTCTTTAGAAATTTCCAATAATGCAACAGAAAAGGAAATCTGAAATAAACGAAAATTGCTGGTAGCCCCCTTCTCTAGTCTTGAGCCTAGAATTAAATGGCAAAGAGAGCACTAAGCCTGGAGTTCAAGTCCTGGCTCCGACTTCCTGGCTGGGAGACCTCACTGACTGCTGTTTTCTCATCTGCAAAAGGAGCACATAGCAACCACCCCACTGGGCAGCGGGAGACTATGAGTTCACATGTGTTATAACTGTAAGTACAGGGACTGAAACACAGCATTTTCACACAGCAGTCCTTATCTGAACAGGACCGCAGCCATACAAGAGCCTGTGCTGTTGCTGCCCACCCCTTTCTGCTGAATCCAGCCCCAGTCCTGGGCTGGTTCTCTCTTTCTTGGAGCCCTTCCTGCCGTGTAGTAAACCCTTGGATTCAGAGCCCATCTCCATTCCCTATATGAAGGCCTGGGGGTGGGGTGGGGAGGAGAGATGAGAGCTGGGAGAAGGGTAATGTTTGTTTCTAAAATGAGCCTATTTTGTCATATATTTGCAATTATACTGAACAGTTTTGGGTGAAGAATTTTTTTACTTAGTGTCACTTTGTAAGTACTTTTCTATGTTGCTACAGAAACTTCCCAGTGATCATTTTTGATGTCAGATGACTATTCTATTGGGTGAATTTACCATAACTTAGTTATAATCTTTCTCCTGTTGTTTTTGATTATGAACACAGCGGTGATGCACCTCTCTGAGCCAGGCTATCCAGTGGGTGTGCAAGGAGAAGCTGGCCAGGCATTGAGAGGTTCAAGTGGGAGCGTGCACCCCAGGAAGGAGCAGCCACAGCCATGGCTCTCAGCCTTTATTCTGCTTGGACGGGTGTTGCAGGAGCAATGGACAACACACTCTCACAGCACGCCCAGCCATTCCAGGGCATTTACAAGCTGACACTCAACCCTTCTCTCCCACCCAGAACCAGGTACCGGCTGTAGGTGAGTGAGAGACACTATTGCAGGGATGACCTTGGATAGGTCCTGACTTATCTGGAAACTAAGAACATCATACCGAGCCTGTGGCATTTCCTTACAGGAAAGGTCAACTGTGCACAGCTCATAGGCAATCCTGACCTTTCCTGGGCGGCTCTTCATTCTGGCCAAGAACCCTCCCAGCCCAGCAGCTCAATTTGTTGTGCAGGGTCTGCCGCCTTCCACCTAGATAGTTACACAGTGGGAGGGCCACCTGTTCCCAGGGCTCCTGAGCGGGAAATACATGTCCTGGGCTGACTTCATCCGGTGGCCTGTGCTCACCACTCTGTTGGGGCTCTTTGTGCTGTCCCCAACCCTGACCGCCCCCTGCTTTCACTCTGCTCTCTCCTCCTGGCTAGGACTTCCTCTTCCCAGCCAACTGTGTCCCTGTCCTAGATCAAAATCTAGGCCCCTTCTCTTGGAAATGCTGCTGGGGTCACTGGCTGCTCTTCTGGGCAAGTGTCTGCCTGCTTCCCCTTCATGACCCCACTTCCATATCCTGTGTGGTAGGGACAGTGAGATTGATGCAAACCTCCCTGTCTGCTGCATGAGGACCACGCCCTGCTTCCAGGACAGTCTTACACTTTAGTGTCTAGAGCAGTGGTTCTCAACCTTCCTAATGCCGCCACCCTTTAATACAGTTCCTCATGTTGTGGTGACCCCCAACCATAAAATTATTTTTGTTGCTACTTCATAACTGTAATTTTGCTACTGTTATGAATTGTAATGTAAATATCTGATATGCAGGACGTATTTTCATTGTTACAAATTGAACATAATTAAAGCATAGTGATAAATCACAAAAACAATATGTAATTATATATGTGTTTTCCAATGGTCTTAGGCGACCCCTGTGAAAGGGTCGTTTGACCCCCAAAGGGGTCGCGGCCCACAGGTTGAGAACCACTGGTCTAGAGAGTCAGAGACTCATGAACACAGGCCATGCAGGCTCCCTGCGCCATCACCTCCCCACTCCCGCACTGAGCACGTTATCTCGTATAATCCTCCCAGCAGCTCAGAAAATAGCACCGTCCTAGCCGGTTTCTCTCAGTGGGTAGAGTGTCGTTTTGGAAACCAAAGGGTCCCGGGTTCGATTCCAGTCAAGGGCATGTACCTTGGTTGTAGGCTCCTCCCCTGCCCGGGCCCTGGTCAGAGCTCATGCAGGAGGCAACCAATAATGTGTTTCTCTCACATCAATGTTTCTCTCTGTCTTTCCCTCTCTCTTCCACACTCCCTAAAAATCAATGGAAAAATATCCTCAGGCGAGGATTAACAGAAAAAAAGAAAACAGCACAGATGAGGTCTCCAGGCTCTGAAGGAGGAGTTGGTTGCCCGAGGTCACAGAGTTGGTACAAGGCAAGGTGTGACTGAGCCCAGGTCTGTCAGATTCTAAAGCCAAGTCCTAACCATTGCACTTAGCTCCCTCCCCACTGGAATCCCCCTGGAAATCAAAAGTCTAGTCCTACCCTTCAAGGCTGTCCTTGGTATTCTTCTGGCTGAATGCACGCAGGTTGGTCTGACCTCTCCTAGCCGGTGGTATGCTCTCCTAGCCGGTGGTATGACAACAACGTGTCAATGACGCAGGTGCTGCCCGGCGGCCAGGACATGGACTCCAGGGCCACACTGCTTGGATACAAATCCCGCCTTCACTACTGAGCCTGGGACAAGTTACTCACCCTTTCTTTTATTTTTATCTTTTGTTAATCTTCACCCGAGGATATTTTTCCATTGATTTTTAGAGAGAGTGGAAGAGAGGGAGGGAGAGACAGAGAAACATCGATGTGAGAGACACAGCAATTGGTTGCCTCCTGCATGCACCCCGATTGGGGCCAGGGATTGAACCTGCAAACCAGGCATGTGCCCTTGACTGGGAATCAGACCTGAGACCCTTTGGTGCAAGGATGGCATGGGGCAAGTGCAGTGCATATGCCATCTCCCTCTTGGAGTTCTCACCTCTCTGAGGGTGACTTGTACCCACTGCACTCCCTTCCAGAAGATCTCTGGCTGCTGCTACTGTGGATTCTTCCCAAGTGCCTGGGAAAATGAACAAGACTCCAGGCAAGAGAGAAGAACCACCAGCCACCTGAGTTCCTACTAAGTGCCAGGCCCATCCTCCCCACGTTCATTATTGCACATGATTTCATCTTGACCACAGCGCTGTGGGCTAAGTATTGAAGTGCTAACACTCTCGCTTTACAGAAGAGGAAACAAGCACAGAGAGGTAAGTTCTCCTCAGTCATGCAGATGAGACGGAGGGAGGCAGGACAAACCTAGCTGTGTTCGGTCCACCACAGGAACCGAAAGTTACTGCCGGGTGAAAGGACACTGGAGTCTGCTGCTGGAGTGTGCTCTGCACCACCACCTGGTCCTGCCTCCTGTTCCCATCCCTCTTTCCTCATCCCAGGCCCAGGGACATGCTGCGTCGGATAGAGAGGGAGGGCAGGGTTGAGCACTCCTGGAACAGCTGTGGGTGTGAGGTGGAGTGTTCCCATTCAGCTCATCGCCCTTCCCTGAAGTGTTCTTCTTGGCTCAGAACTGCAGGGAGGAAACAGAGATCTCAGAGGAGAGAAAAGCCACATGACAGTCACCAGTGAAGCAAAGGAGGAAGACACAAGTAGAGAAAGGGGACAGGGGACAGAGCGGAGGAAGGAGTCTGCCTGCCTGCCTTCACAGGGATCAGGAACCTGGGAAATTTCTTTGGGGAATGCTGTGTGGACTAGTGTGCTAGTGGGGAAGGCAGTGGATTGGGTGTGGGGAGACCTGGGATCTAGCTGTGACTCTGCTGCTTGTGCTGTGTGACCCTGGACCAGTCCCTTCACCTCTCCAGGACTCGCTGTCTCTGCCAAAAATGGGGGTGGAGGGGGGGGAAGGGGAGCAGACTAGATTTTTGAGTCCTTCCAGCTCTGATATTCAAGGTTGATGATTCTACTATCAAACAGCTTCAACAATAAGGGGGCATTTTCTTAAAGTTGGCTGTTCTCAATCACAGGGCAAGCAGGAAAATGGCAGCTAAGAACTCTAGACATGCAAGTCTTCCTAGCACAAGATGCTGGGCCTCTGAGGATCAGCTACAAATACAAGTCTGGTTGATGTGAATCATAACCAGAGGCTCCTCGTGTCTGGGCTCGCTGATAAATTCCTGCACATGCAGATTCAGAGGCACGCCCAGTCTCCTAGGTGAGTCCAGGCTTCCAGGCAGCTCTCTGGGGCAGGCGGGAAGCATGCGGCGAGTCCATTTCTCTCATCTGCCCCCTCAAAAGCACCTGGATTTCTCTCCTGCTCCCCACAATAGTTCTCTGGTGCAGCAGCACAGGAATTCCCCGTTATACATATGTATACGTGTGTGGCTGCGAGTGGCAGGGTTTGGAGCAGGCCTGGCTGGTTGTCTGGCTGCCTTCAAGAACAGTGGGACTGTGAGCACCCACCCCAAGCCTCAGGCCTCCAACTGTTTGGCAGCTCTTGTCACTACCCTCTAGAGAGGACGCAGCAGCCCATTAATGACTAAAATAAAGTTCCTGCCTCCCATGCTACAACTGGAGCCTATGAGCTGGGGCAGCCTTTCCCTGGTGAGGGCCACAGCCTGGGCGAGGGGGAGGCAGTAGCTAGAGGAGGCAAAGCTGGACGGCAGCAGAGCAGACAGACTAGTCAGAAACGTGTGCTCCAACCCAGTTCCAATTCCCCCACTGCCTCAGCATATGGAGCGCATGAGTGACAGCGTCACAGGGCTGGTCCGAGGACTGAATGAAGGGATGCAGGTGAAGCATGTGGCATAGGTGCAGGGATGAGTGCCTCATTGTGAGCAGCTCACAGCCAGCCACAGGTCACCTGTCTGTGTGCGGGACTGCTGGGGGAGGGCTGCCCTGGAACCATGGAGGCTCCCCAGGGCATCAGCGTGACACCCAAGCAATCTGACCAGGCCAGGCCCCAGGTGTATAGGTGGTCTAGTCCTCAGGAGTTCTGACCCATCTTGGGCTCTTCCTAATTTGCTAAGCTAGAGATACCTTTCCTTTTCAGCCTAGGACGCCATGAAAAGATCAAATTGCATTGGGCCTTCTGGTTAAGAAGGTCAGGAAGTATGTAGCAATATTTCCACCAACATCTATGTCAAATATGAACATTCCAGCAGTAAGGGTTATTGCTGGGCCTGGAGGGCATGGCCCTACCTTCAGATGCTCCATCTTTTCCTGTTGGCTCAGGAAGTCCCTGTTGGCAGCGTCTGGAGGCACAAGGAGTGGGTTAGGGGGATGTATGAAGTCCTGGGTGACCTTCTCAGACAGCTTGCAGATGACCTGCTGTTTGGCCTGGTTCTTGTCCATGAGCAGCTGCACGTGCTGCTGCAGCTCCTGCACCTGCTGCTCGTGCAGGCTCGCCGTCTGTGCCAGGCTCTCCCGCTCCTGTTCCAGGGCCTCCACCCGCCTGCCCAGCTCCGCGATCTGCCGCACTTTGTGCCGCACCAGCTCCAGCCGGTCCTTGTCCTCCGCCGCTGCCAGGTACGCGCAGGTTGCCCTCTTCTCCTGCTGTGCGGCCTCCAGAGCTTTGTGCAGGATCCTCACCAGCTCCTGGACAGGGAAACAAAGTGCCTGTGAACACAGGGAAGGACTACCAGGCGCCAGAGGTGAAGCATGTTCTCACCAGCTCTCCTCACGGCCCCAGGAGGTGGCCAGCATCACCCTCTTGGTCATCTCATCTCAGCCCCCATTTTCTCTTTTTCCGCTCAAGAGTTTTAACTTGACACGTGGTTTCTCAGTTCACCCAAGCAATCTGACCTGTGACATTTCCCAGCTAAGCTTACAGCTGGGTGTGACCAAGTGACAATTCGACCTATACCGGGTGTGGGCAGCTCTGGGTCATAGATACCTTTGAAACCACTACACCTATGCTCTCTGGTCCAGTTGCCCTTTCTTCTGGCTGGGAAAAGGCAAGAACTACAGCAGCCATGTGGGGCTCCCAGCAGAAGTTGCATGTGGAGGATGGCAACGTTGCCCTACCAGCTCAGAATTGCTCACTTACCTCTGGGCTCTTCCATGAGAATGTGAGAGAGAAATAAACTTCCAAATTGGTTTAGGCCAGTGGTTGGCAAACTCATTAGTCAACAGAGCCAAATATCAACAGTACGATGGAAATTTCTTTTGAGAGCCAAATTTTTTAAACTTAAACTATATAGGTAGGTACATTGTTATTAACTTAATTAGGGTACTCCTAAGGCTTAGGAAGAGCCACACTCAAGGGGCCAAAGAGACGCATGTGGCTCGCGAGCCGCAGTTTGCCCACCACGGGTTTAGGCCATAGTACTTTGAGGCTTCTTTGTTATAGCAGCTGAGCCCATATCCTGAGTAACACCTGTCTATTTTGGAGATGAACACACTGAGGCCCAGCAGAACAGAGTGGAATTTAATCCCAAATTATCCAGACTCCAAGGCCTGTGCTTGGTCAGTAATGACAGCAGGGGTGCCGTGGCACACAGGCACTGCTTTTCCCTCCTCTCACTCCTGTGGCAGGTGTAATAACCTCAATACTCCTTCCTGCTAAGCCGAGTTGAGGCCTCAGAATCCTTCTGAATAGAGCACCCAAGCTGTTGCTACGAGCTGAGATAGCAATAGAGAGGAAACACATTGACAATCCTCACGCTAAGCCACACACAGAAAGCCTCATTCAATCCATTTGTGCCCAACTCCCGAAGCCCACCAAGCGATGCCCACAAGGCTGGAGCAAGGGAGCGCTAGAGAGCAACAGACCTCGATTTACTCCTTGGCGAAGCATGTGATTCACATGGAAACTCAAGCTCGGCCTGGCTCCCCATGCCTGGGAGCCTTCACCCTCCCCAGGACTTCTCTTGCCCCAAAGCACGGTGTGGATTCATTCAGGGCCAGGATCAGATGATCAGAAGCCAGTCGCCAAACTTTCAGACCTCACGGACCACCAGTGGTCCACGAACCACCAGTTGGCGACCGCTGCTCCAAACGTTTCCTTAAACCAGCGGTTGCCAACCTTTTGGACCTCACAGACCACCGGTTGGCAACCGCTGTTCCAGACAACTGAATCAACAGCTCAAGCAAAGCCCCAGCTGAATGAAAGAGCAGGTGAGGAGCTTGGGTGTTGCAGGAAGTGGGGGAGGGTTGCAAACCAAACCAGAATGTCAGGAATGAAGAAATCACTTCCCAGGGCCCTGCTGAGAGAGATTAACATTCCTGTGGCTCCAGGATAAACTGAGAAGCCCAATCATTTTCTGGTTCAGCTGAGATTTGGAGATCACCTTGGAAACTGCCTGTGAAATACCAACAGACCACAGTTCAGACTTGCCTGAGGCTCAGAATCAGGTGGGTATACCCCCCCCTCCCCCCCAGGTTTTGGGAGAGTCAACTCTGAAGCCCATTTCATTACATCTAGCTGTCTCTCCTCCCCACATCTGGCTCTCAGAATCCAAGACCAAGACAACAGCCCAGGAGGCTCTCGTCCCACCCCAGAATCCCTGCCCCACAGTGAGATAGGGAGAAAGGAAGGGGTGGGGGATGGAGCCAAATAAAGACTGAAGCAAGGAGAAGGGAGAGGACTAAAGGGACGTGGTAGATCTCCATGAGTGGAAAAGCACACTATGAGAGAGTGCTCCCGACTCCTAATCCAGGATCCCTCACTTCTTTATGATGAGTTATTCATGAATTTTACATTGAAATGCTTCTTTCAATTTCTTTAAAAATGGAAATAACCCATGTTCATGGCAATATTATTAACAATACCCAAAAGGTGTAAACAACCCACCCAGAGTCTATTGACGGTGAACAGGTAACATGTGGAGTGCACGCTAACGTCTGCATCCTGGAGTGGGAGTGTACTCTGAACTCTGGCTGGGGCTCTAGGGAAATAATGTGTTGCTCTTTGCCCCCACTGTTCCCTAAACGAAGTACATGCCTTCACCAAGTCATCCTGAGTGAGCTAGGCTGGCTCTACAGGGCCCCAGGCAGGACCCGGGAGGAGTCCCTCATTCCCAGCAGTCAACAGATGGTGAACAGCACCACAAACAACAGCCTTCCACCTGCCAGAGCAGACGGCCTTCAGGCTGGGTACAATCCTGCCGCCTCCAAGGGCACCGAGCCGGAGTCACCTGGCTGAGCAGCCATCTGGTACTTACTATCTTCTTGAGTCCAAATCTCTGTGGGGCCAGCATTGCAGGGGCCTGGGGTAGATAATGACTTAAGGGGTATTGGAGTCACCCTGTGGTTTAATATGACACAGGGAGGCCCAGAAAGTTCGTGCCATTTTTTCTGAAGAGCAGTTGTGTCTGATACTGGGCTGTACCATGAGAACATGGAGGAGGCAGCCTGTGATGAGAGCCCTGAACCTGGAGAAAAAGACCAGGGCCCTCCACAGATCCAACAGAATTTGAGATACAAATTTGTAAAGGATCACTAAAGTTACTGGCAATGGCCACCTGGCTGTCTGGGCTAGAGCATGACCCCAACTCCCATGTCCCCTGTAGCCTCAGGTAGAAAGGTAGTGCCTTCCCACTGAAGGGCCATGGGAGGGGCATCTGGTAGATGTGGGCCCCGAGGCCCAGGGAGCTGTTTTCCCAGCTGAAGGACTGGACTGGGAGGGTGAGATGGAGAGCAGCTCTCCAACCTGCATTTCTGAGTCCCTAGGGCTCAGCATCCCAAGGCTGTGCCAGCCTCCTCCGCCCCCTCTGAGCCAAGAGTTGGTCTCCTTTTCTCCTTCCCCTCTTTGGTTTTGGTGTCTGGGCTGGAGGTGAAACCCCAGAGTTGGCAGGGCTGGGGATCCCCCTGCCTAGTGTGAATGAAGGCCGGCCCTCCATCCTCACTGCTATGCCTCACAAGCATATTTCCTGGAAGCCCTCAACAGCTCAGGTCTGATTCCCAGAACTCCTCAGGAGCGTTCTTCTCAGAGCCCCTCAGGCGTGTGTGTCATTCCTTCAAAGGCCAGAAGGAATCAACAAAAAAGGCAGGGAATGCTAGCAGTAGTCAAAATAATCAAAGCCCGAATCTGCTGGGCAACTGCTGGCCAGGCACCAGTCAGGCTTTATGAATCTAGACACAGGCCTCTCCAGGAAACATGGCTATTCCTCCATTTATATAGGAGGAAACTGAGGCTGTAGAGGTTAAGAGACTTGCTCAGGGCTTGAATTGGGATCTGCAGCCTCTTATTTAAATGCCTGTGCTCTGAATTACCCAGTAGACCAGTGGTCGGCAAACTCATTAGTCAACAGAGCCAAATATCAACAGTACTTCTTCAAAATAGATTCGCCCAGGCCGAAAACCGACTTCTGCGCATGGGCCACGAAGTTTCAATTGCACTGTATGCGCGCCCACACGTGGTATTCTGTGGAAGAGTCACACTCAAGGGGCCAAAGAGCCGCATGTGGCTCGCGAGCCGCAGTTTGCCGACCACGGCACTGGACCAAAGAGCATTTGTGAGATGGGTCAGAGAGCATGCAAATCCATTCATATTGTGGGTCAAAAGCTAACCCACAAGACTTGCTCTCCTCCCACTACCTGCTCAAGAACAAGAATGAGGTTTGCTGGCAAGTGAACCAGTAACAAAGTCTAATTCTTTAATGCTTGAGCAACTTCCTCCTGACATTTTCACTCAGACTGCAGGGGAATTGCCCTCAGCCTGGGTGGCCCTTACTAATCTCCAAGACCTCGCCTTCATTTACTGAAGAATGGTCGGTCCTCCACAGCTGCAGAGCTGTTAGGGGCAAACCTAAGTGAAATCTCGGTGTCCCAGGGCCTCTCAGCTTCATCTGACAATTCGTGATGCCTTAGAAGGACTGGCCAAAGTCAAGGGAGGCTACCCAGATTTCCTAGAAAGAAGGGTAGGATATGATGAAAGGAGAAGTGGTCTTTACAGTCCAGATTTCTTTTCAAACCCAGGCTTGGGTTTGGGTTTGGGACTTAAGCTGTGCTGGTCCAGGGATCAGGCACTGCTCTAGCTAGAGAGGCTGCTGCCGGTGCTGCAGCCGCCCTTGCCCTCCTGCCATGGGACCCTCACTGCTTCCAGAGGTAGCCCTGGGTGGGAACACGATCTACCCTCTGGGTTGTAGGCTTTTTAATGATTATAACGTCTGTGTATACATGTGATTTGTTTTCTACAATGAACATGCAGCTTTCTTTTTTTAACTGCTGTCATTAACTTCTCTATTAAACCTAAATCTTCCTCCCTGCTATTGTTCCTTGTTGGGCCTGACTCAGCCCCAGGTCCAAAGGAACTGCCTGCTCCCTCTGTCCTGTGACAGTCCTTCAGAGATCCTGCCCAGTTACCGGCTGCCTGGTGAAGATCCCAGGTTCCTTTGGTGGCACCTCCCAGGACCCTGCATCCAGGTCACCCTCCTCCACACTGTCCCTCTTTGGGTGTGGGGGCAGACCATGCACAGTCCTTCAGGAGGGGCCTGAGAGGCAATTATTAAAGTAGGCCTCCAGAGACCCTGCCCTTAGCGGCTTTCTGTTTGAGTGACAGCGTGTCCCTGAGTAATCAACAGCCAGCATTTTCAACCACCCACAGTTTGGCCTACACCCAGAGGTCTCCTGGAGCCTGGGGCAGAGCTCACCTTCTGAGACTTTAACTCCTTGGTAAGCATCAGAACCTGTTGCTCCAAGGCCAAGGCTCTCTCCTGGGCAGTTCGGTTCCGTGTGAGTCCCTCAGCAAAGAGTGGGAAGGTGTTGTTCTGGCGCTTGGCTTTCTGAATGAGATTGGCAGTCAGAGAGGATTTGGGTGCAGGCTTCAGAGTCTCCCCTGGATCTTTCCCTGATCAAGAGGAGAAACACAGAGGTTATGACCGGGGCCTTGGCAGTTCTCAAATGAGCTTGTGCAGAAGCACCTGGAAGGCTTGGTAAAATGCAGACTGTGGGACCCTACACCCTGAGCTCTTCATTCAACAGGCCTGGGTGGGGCTTGAGAATCTGCATTTCTAATTCCTAGGTGATGCTGATGCAGCCTGTACAGGGCTGGACTAATAAACATTATTTACACTGTGCTGGCCAGGTCACCAGCCCATCCTCTCAGATCCCCACCTGCATGGGCTATGTTTGCCAGGTGGTCATCCCCTCAGTCACAAGCTCTGAAGGAATGACTTTTTATGTCAGGATTCCACCTCTACCCTGTGAGCAACTTTCAAAGACCTGTCTCTTGATAGGAATATCTGTACTCTGCATTCTTTCCCCAGAGAGCAGCTCAAACTCTTCTTTGATTCTTACTATAAGCTAAGTTAGGAGACATATTTCCCTCGAGGCTGCATAGTCCTTTTATTTCCTCTAGAGCCAGGGTTAGCAACTGATGGCCCACAGGCCAAATCTAGTCCACAGCCTGCTTTTGTAAATAAAGTTTTATTGGGACACAACCACACCCCTTCATTTGGGCACTGTCTGTTCTGGTTTCACTTTACAAGGGCAGAACTTGTAACAGAGACCACATATCCCACAAAGCCTCAGATATTGACTATCTGGCTCTTTACTGAAAACCACTGCCGACCAGAGCCAAATTTTATTCTTAAATCAAATCCACTCACTCAAGCCGCCTTGTCCTGCCCTGTCCCCAGCCTTTGCTTTAGGGTTCTGCCATCAGTTGGCAACCAGGGACATTTAATGGCCTGATTATATGGTTAAGGGACCTTGAGGATCTTGTTTACATGGCACAGACACATCATGCCGGTTATGAGGCCCCAGCAGAATTTCTTCTCAGCCCTCAGAAAAGGCTTTGCTTCTTCCAAGAAAATATGTGTTTATTCTTGTGGACCCTGGGAATAAGCTAACCACTTGTATCTCCCTCTTTGCATGGCTGCTGAGAAGCTCAGAGCCACATTTGCTGCCCACCCTTGGCTACTCTGAAGGATCTTATCTAAATTTTCTAACCCTAATAAGTCATTTTCTTTCCCCAGATATGCATTTTAATAAGCTATCCCCAATTTTTTTGAGACTAAGGTGTGAAAAATAAGGATGTGGCGTGGGATCCCAGGGGAGGGGACAGGTAGGGCTTGGAGGACAAGCTGAATGACTTAGCATCTTTCTTCTGGGGCCCAGGCTGAGGGACAGGCAAACGGGTTTGAAGAGATAAAGATCTAGTAGGTGACAGGAACCAGAAACTCCTTGAACTTGTTGGGTATAAGAACAGATCGGTCTTGTTTCCAGACTTCAGAGAAATCTGGGTGAGCTGAGGATAGAGCAGCCACAGGGCTCCGAGGAATGCCAGGCCACCGCTTCCTGGCCAGAGGCTCTGGGAGAGCCAGACTGTGCAGCTCAGCCCTGCAGCCCTGCTGACCTCTGAAACACTGCTGCCACCAGCCCTGCAGGCAGGAAGCATAGGGATCACTGAGCTCATTTTACAGCTGGAGAAAACGAGGCCCAAGACAGCGTTTCTCAGTCAGTGCCCTAGGATTTCATGGGAGTGCCTCATGGCTGACTGGGAAGGGCGGAGGATGAGGGGCTGAGGGGAACCCAGACTCCAACCCCTGACCCAACTCAGCTTTTATCTACTTTGTATATTAGGTTTTGTTTATGGCATCAAGATTTCATGAAAATAAAGATGTAGTTTTAAAAAAATCACTGATTTAGAAAAGGAGGCTTCAGGCCGCGGCATGGGGCCGGAGTGCTGGGCCTGAGTAACATTAGTAACAATAGTAGCTCGCTCGCTCGGGTTGCTGTAAGTTTAAACAGCTTCTGCAAGTAAAGTGATTAGTGCACATGGCTGAAACCTGAAAGGTTCTAAGTGCAAGAGGCCAGACAGCAGGGACCACATGTTGTACGATTCCATTTGTAGAAACTCTCCAGAATAGGCAGGTCTGCAGAGATAGAAAATAGACTGGTGGTTGCCTAGAGTTGGAGGGAGGTGGAGACTGGGACTGATGGCTGAGGGATGTAGGGTTTCCTTTGGGGGTAATTACAACTGTTCCAGAATTGACTATGGTGATGGCTGCATAACTCTGTGACTATACTGAAAGCCACTGAACTATATGGTATGTGAATTATATCCTAATACAACTATTACCCCCTTCACCCCGATCCCAAAGTGCTTAGTGGCACAAATAACTACTCTATGTAAGTGCTAGTTTCATTATTATTACTGATTCGCTATGGTCCTGATCTTCTCTTGCACTGTTCCCGTGACCTGCGGGGTGTCCCCAGGCACTGCTCCCATGGGGCACCTTTCCTAGAGTCACTTCTACATGGCCCAGGCGTCCTCTCTGCCATGAGAACACACAGTGCTGCCTCAGTCAGTTTTCTCCCAACTGTTTAAATTATAAGGGCACCAATCGAAGAAGCCAACCTCCCCCCCGCACCCCCCGCCCATGGTGTGGGTCACTCACATTTTGTGAAAGAAACAATCAAATGCCATGTCATAGCTGGATGGGACCTAAAGGCCATCTGCTCTGCTTCTTCAGGCAGAGTTGACAAATTTAATCGCCATAGAAAGGCATTTTTATATTCTTTCTTTATAAATTAAAAAACAAGTAAGAAAGTGAGATTTTCCTTTATTACTTCAAGAATCATGGCTGAGTTTTAGTTTGGGAAGATGAAGAGTTCTGGAGATGGATGGGGGTGGTGTTTGCAGAAGAATGTAAATGTACTTAATGCCACTGAACTGTACCCCTGAAACGGGTTAAATTTTATGTTATGTATACTTCACAACAACAAATAATCAATCATTGCTACTAGACCCATAAAGCCAGAAGGAGTGCCCCGGAGAGTCCCATGGTTGACAGAAAAGCACACATGCTGGTTTCTGGGGAGACGGGCACTCAGTTTCTGAAGGCAGCTCAGCCCTGGGCAGAGGCTCACCTGGGGCACTGGGGTCAGGGGATGAGGGCCGCTCCGCCCTCTGAGGCTCGCTGCTCGGTAGAGGATCTTCCCCTGGAGGTCCATGGCCTGTTCCTTGGGCTTGCCTGTTGCCTCGGATGTTGTACATCGTGTTTCTGAAGGGAAACAGAGGAGCATGAGGCTGACAGCCCTGCCACTCTGCCCCTCTCCTCCCCGCTGTCAGTGCTAGAGCTCAGGCTGTATCCTACCCCCAGGCATGGCCTGATCAGTCTGTGAGACTCCAGGCACCCTGCATGATGTACCCCACCCGAGCCACTCCCGATCCCCCTCACCCCTCTTCTTTTCATCATTTCATTGCTTATCACCGTCCACAATGTTGCTTATAAACAATATAAGCCTGACGCCCCTGCCCCAATCCTGCAGCTGGAGTATAAGCCATTGAAGGTAGAGATGTCTGTCTGTTTTGTTCACCAAAGTACTTTGAATGCATAGAACAGTGCTGAAATATAGAGGGCCCTTGCTATGTATGTGTTGAATAAATGTTGAATGGACTTGCCAAACTAACTTTCCTAAAACCTTCATCTGGTCTTGTAACTACCTGGCTCAGATATCATCAGTGGCTCCATGAATGGGCCACCTTGTGACCAAGTACTTGCCTAGGCTGAATAAAGCAATGTCTTTTCTTCATGAACTGGGCACTAACATACCTGCATGCCTGCTGGCACCTGGCACTGGGGTAGCCTGTGCCCCGAGTGCAATCTCAATACCTTTTTGGTTTGTAGGTAGCACGAAAGGCTGACTTAGGACCAGAGACTACAGAGGAAGTCATAGAGAGTCAGAGAAAAAGACAGTTCAATTGAGTTTAGTTTCCCTTTGCAAAGATATAAAAGTAGACATATTCCAAAATTAGTTAACAAGGAAGAGAAAATGATTAAAGGAGTTCTGTAGGTCAGTGTTTTTCAAACTGCAAGTTATAAACCATTGGTAGATTATAAAATCAGTTTAGTATCATGATCAGCATTTAAAAAAACAAGATGAAAAACATGAGAATGTACTCCATTTAGAGAAGGTTAATATTATGTGAAACGTGTGTGTGTGTGTGTGTGTACTGAACCATTTCCCACTGTGGTCATAGTCAACAGGTAGAAAACACTGCACTGGAAAGTCACTTAATTAAGGGCAGCAACAGCGTGGTCAAAAAAGAGGATGCGAAAGTCTGTAGATCTGTGCTGGAATCCGGGCTCTGCTATATCACCCCCACGTGGGGGACAAATTACTCTGAAAAACCCTTATTCCAAAACACCTGGATGCTAGATAAATACAAAACATATTTCACAAATATTTAGCTGAATTCCCAGGAAAGGAAGAGAAATCCTCAGGCACTAAATATGAAAAAGGAGGTGAAACTCAAATGGGAAGGAAAGAGAAAGATCACCAGGTAGATTAGATTACTGTTCAGCAAATACAGGCATATCTCGGAGATACTTATTTTTTTTTTATACTGTACTAGGATACAATGAACCACCTCAGTAGCTTCTGAGGCTAATACACTTCTATCACCACAATTTCTTTAGCAAACGTGGTTCCCTTCACATCTGCAACATCATGCAGAGTTAGTGATCAAGTTTGCACTCGGAGATACTTTAATTTAAAAATATCTTATTGCTAAAAAATGCTGAGTCTGCGGGAAAATTGGCGCTGACAAGTGCTCAATGCAGGTTACCACAAAACTTCTATTTGTAAAAAATGCAGTACCTGTGAAATGTAACAAAACAAAGTATGCCAGTATTCGCTCTTTCTCCTCCACCTCCATGAGAACAGAGTGCCTCCCCTTCCCCCCTTAACGTTGTGTGGCCATGTGACTTGCTTGACCAAAGGGATGTTAGCAAATGTGATATGAACATAGGCTTAAACTGTGCTCGCATGTGGGGTTTGCCCTCTGGAGGAACATGCCTCAGGTAGCTGTGGCCCATGGAAGATGGGAAATATGTGGTAGAACTAGATCTTACCAGCTTAGAGTCACGACCAGGTGAACCTAGCCTATAGCAACTGAACTAAGATGGGTGCAAAATAAATGCTTATTAACATGGCACTGAATTTAGAGGTGTTTGTTTGCAGCATTATTGTCGTGAGAGTTGACTAGGATATAAATCTGTTCAGGGATCAACTGTTTGTTGTTTTTGGGTTGTTTTTTTACATTGAGATATGTTTGACATATTATATTTGTTTCAGGTATAAAACATATTTACTCAATATATGTACATACTGTGAAATGATCACCACAATAAGTCTAATTAACATCCATTACCCACACATACAGATTTTTTTCTTGTGATTAGGGATTAACTGTTGATACCAAAAACCTAGAGCCTTGGTTTCAAGGGAGGGAAGAAAACAAGGTTTGGACAAAGTGTAGAGTTGAAATTGAAATTTTACATAAAGTTGGGACTCCTGAAAATCCATACCATCTCTGAAGAGGTGTGTTAGAAAAAACACAAAGAAATTCTAGGTGAAGGTTCTGGGTATTCAAAGAATTTTGTAATATCATTGTTTGGTTTGGGTGACATGATAATACTGACCTTATGAAATGAATTGGGAAGTGTTCCCTCCTCTTCTTTTATGGGGGAGAGTTTGTGAAGAATTGGTATTAATTATTCTTTATGTTTAGTAGAATTCACCAGTGAAGTTATCTGGTCCTAGATGTTGTTTTTGTTTATTTTTGTGGATAGTTTTTTGATTACTAATTCAATCTCCTTACATGTTATAGATCTAGTCAGATTTTCTAGTTCTTCTTGATTCAGTTTTAATAATTTGTGTCTTTCTAGGAATTTGTCTATTTCATTGAAGTTATCTAACTAGTTGGTATATAATTGTTCTTAGTATTCCCTTATAATCCTGTTATTTTTGTAAAGTTGGTAGTATTGTCTCCTTTTGTTCTTGATATTAGTAATTGAGTCATGCCTTTTCTTGGTCTGTTTAGCTAAAAGTTTGTTGATAATTTTCAAAGAATAATTATTTAATCTGAAACTTATCTTTAAAAGAAAATCCAGTTTCTTGGTATAGTTGGGTCCAAAAAAAATGAGATTTTACTTTAATGGAGAAATTAATAAGTTAAATTAAGAACAGAGAAGAAATTAGAAGTCAGCACTCTATCAGACTTTAAAATTTGGTCTCTGACTCCTTTTACTCTGTTATTATTAAGGTCCTATTTTAAGAAGCCCCCGACTCCTTGGCTAGTCATTTCCCCTTCCCAGTTCTTATTTTCTCCATGTTAAAATAAAAGGTGGTAGGCCATATTAAAAAGAATGATGAGGGACATGATTTACTGAGTAGCATTTTGTGCTGGGTCCTGTGTTGAGCTCCATGAAAATGTATCTCACAAACCACAAACCACAAGCCACATGACTTGGAGAAGACCCAGAGACACATCCCTACAGCCAGAGGAAGTGGCTGGGTGGGGTGACCATCATGGCTGCCCATACTCCCCCTTGCCCAGGGATTGCAGCCTCCCCAACATGTCTAGGGAGCTCAGTCATCCCTGGGATATAAGAGGCATAGAAACCCCAACCTCAGGGCAGTAAAGGGCCTTCTGATCTCTACAGACACAGACCAGGTGGCCACTACCCAGCCAAACTATTGTGCTTGGAAGAGGCAACGCCACTTCATAAATTTATTGACTTGGGTTGGAGCAGTTCATAGATCATTTTCTGTGTAGGTTTAGCTCCAGGTCTGAAATGCCTGGTCAGCAGAAAGGTAGTGGTCATAAAGGCTTGTCCTGGAAAGAAAGCCTTGGGCAAGCCACTTATCCTTTCTGAGTCTGGGTTTTCTCACCTGCAGTGGGGATGATGAATGTATTCACAACAACGAGGCCCTTTACAGACCAGGCTCTAAGCTAAACACTAGAAATACAACTCATTTCATCCTCACACACATACATTCAATGCATTTAATCCTCACGGCAGCTCAATGGAGTGAGTACTATTATCACCTCCATTGCACATGAGGAGAACTGAGGTTCAGAGAGGATAAGTAACCAAAGCCACAGAGATGGTAAATGGTGGGGCTGAGCATTAGACCTGGACATCTGACTCCATAGCCTGAGAACTTAACAGACAACTCAATGAGTATGAAGCACCCAGTATGGTGCTCTGGAAGCTCCCTTACTCCCTTCCCCAGACTATGATCTTGGCTCATGGCAGACCCAACTATAGGCTCTAAGACCAGCCAGGGCCAGGGGATACAGGAGACAAGGGCAACCTTAAACCCACTGGGCTCTCCCCAGGACACGTGCAATGTTCCCTTGCATTTTATGTGGGTTATTGCAAATGTCAGGAAAGAGGTAACTGACTAATCCCTGAAACTTCCTTCCTTTCTTGGTCTCTGCATGTTCTCTGTTTCACTTCTGTTGTTTGTGGCCTTCATCAGGCACGAACCTGGCTTAATCTTGGTGAGACCATCCTGGATACAGTGTGTACCAGCGGGATGGCTGAAGTTCTCAGGCCCCCTCAAACCTCCCATTAGGCTCACAATGCACACAGTTCTCTTCAACTCCTCCTTAGAGAAGATCTCCAGCAGGGCACCCTTCTTGTCCACTCACACTGGGGGGGGGGGGGGGGGGGGGCTCAGGGGCTCAACCATGCCCCATATTCCCCAAGTCTCTCTCTAGCTCAGATTGCTCTCCTGAGTTCCAGGTCTTCCACCCAGTGCCTGTTGGGTAGTCAACCTCTAGGCCCTAAAGAACACTCATTGTCTTTCCCCTAAAACCTGCTTCTGTCCTGGGAACAGCACCACGACCCTTCTAGTTACCCACACAAACTCAAACTCTGAGGCTGACCGAGGGAAATGCTAGGCCTGAGTCACACAGAGCCAGGATCTCTGATCCGAGTCCTGCTTTCTAAGAGGTCCAGTTTGTATGAAGTCCTCACAAAAAATATGCACCCAAACAGATCAGAATTGGGTATAGTCTGAATTCCCAAAAGCTTCCATTTCTTCAGTAAGAGCAACAATAGCAGCAGCAGGGTGGGCAAACGTAGGTTTACAGTTGTGAGTACGTGAAAGTTTGTTCTTGTATTATTATTTATAAATTATTATATTATTTTCCATGTGAACAACTGTAAATCTACTTTTGCCCCACTCTGTATTTGAGTGCCTACCCACTGCCAAGCACAGTTCGAAAGCAGTTTGCATGCACTGACCAGTTAACCACTGCACTAACCATACAAGGCAAGCATTGCTGAATTTTATATTTACTAACAATTTAAGTGCAGCACAGAGAAATCAAACAACTTGCCAAGGATACCAGAGCCCATGACTGGCGGAGCCAGAACACATATCCAGGCAACTTGACTCCAAAGCCCAGGCCATATTGCTATCTTTTTATAACCTATTTAAAACAAAGCCTGCCGATGAGAAATTGTATATATAATACACCATTAAATGAAAAAGTAGCTGATATATGATGGGCATCTAATAAATTACACATTAAAAGTGAATAATTTGATGTGTTTGACATATATAGACATTTATGAAGCTATCACATTACATTCAGCATGATATCAATTATGCATGTATGTGTATAGAAAATGAGGAGGAAAGAGGTACAGTAAATGCTAAGAATACTTGTCTGGGTGACAGGAAAATGGATAATGTTAAATTTATATCTTTTGGGATGTTTCTAATTTCTAAAAAGAATATGCACTACTTTTAAAATCAGAACAATGAATGTAATATTTTAAAGTAATAGCATGAATTGAAAATAGAGCCCCTAAACCAGTGGTTCCCGACCTTTTTTTGGCCATGCCCCACCTAAGCATCTCCAAGTGAACTCCTAGTCACGTGGAGGAAGCCTAAAGGACATTAACTTGGTCTAAACAAGCTTCCAAAGAACATGGCATCCATGAAAGAGAAAAATAAAAGAATGACAGGACAGTTGAAGTACTGAGGAAGAAATCACTAAGAAATTGTTAAAAAATAGTAATAATATGAAGTGATATGAAAAAAACAGCAAATAAAGTTTCAAAATATATAATAAAGAACTGAAATGCATAAATGTCACAATATATATTTATATACTGTATATGAGGCCCCTAGAACCATAAGAAATGCAAAAAATTCACTGTTAACAACTCATTCTCTAATTGCCCCCCTTAAAAATCAAGTTGCCCCCCGTGGGGTATGTGCCCCACGTTAGGAACCACTGCCCTAAACCCTCCCCACCAGGCCCTCCTCCTTACTGGGAATCACCCCAGATCACAGTGAGCTCTGAAGAAGGGCTGCTTGCATCTTGGCCAGCCCCTCAGCCCCAGTAGCACTTACTGTATTTCGGTTCCCAGGTGCTTGAGGGAAATATTCTGAAGGGCCAAGGGCATGGCTGGGGCTGGCTGCAAGGCGGCTGCCATACCCACAAGTCCAGGGGGCGTTTTCACGGGGTGCAGGAACTCCTCCAGCTCCGCCTCCTCTTGCTCTGGGGAACAAAGAAAAGGGAAATCACCCATTGGGTCATTGTACTTGGAAAGACCAGACAGGTGGGTGCTATGGGCTCAGCTCCCACTGGGAGCAGGTGGGAGTCAGCCTGAGCAAGCCTTCCTTGTGGGTTAACAGCAGCCAAAGAGGCAGGTGGTTCACTGAATGCTCTACAACCAGTAAAATGATGCATTTTGCTGCAATAGCCTTGCTAGAAACCCATTAAAAATATGCAGAACAGCCCTGGCTGTTTTTGCTCAGTGGTTAGAGTGTCAGCCAGCGCATCGAAGGGTTGAGTTGGATTCATGCCCGGGTTGCAGGTTCGATCCTGGCCCCGGAGGCAATCAATCGATGTACCTCTCTCACATCGATGTTTCTCTGCTCCCCCTTCTACTCTAAAAATCAATGGAAAAAATATCCTCTGTGAGGATTAAAAAAAAAAAAAAAAAGCAGAACTGCAAATATTTCTACATCTGAGAATCCACCCTAAAGAAGTCGTTTGAAATGCAGACAGAGCTTTATGAGCCAAGAGGTTCATCCCGATACTGTTTAGCCTCAAACTGAAATTAACATCAAGTAAGATCTGGGAAAAGGTTAAATAAGTTATGATGCCTTTAGACAGGGGCATTTTACTCAGCCATTTAAAATGATGCTAAGGAAAAATGCTTAAGAACATGGGGAATGTGCATGGTACATACTCTAAGGTTGAAAAAAACAGATAAAAATCAGGGTTATAGTATGATCTCCATTGTATAGGAAGAGTCTTAAAGAAATACTTGGCAATCTTAACAGTGGTCAGAACTGCATGCTGGGATTAGAAGTAAGCAGGCTACTCATTATAGTTTAATGTTTTCCCCCAAATTTTCTATAGTAAACATGGGTTACATCTATAAACAGGAAATAATATATATTTATCAAAAGTAGGTATTAATAAACAGATTTTACAACACAGGGACATTTTAGGGTCACAATACTGAGTACCAAAAAGCAAAGTAAAGCGTTTTGTATTGTTATCTGATCAGAAAATCATTTACATGAAAAAAAAAAAAAGAGGCAGGCTGGAGGTCATAACAATGCTAACACTGGCTGTCTCTGGGTGGTAAGCTTATGGCTACTTTTCTATGTTTTTCAAATGTTCTGCTTAAACAGTGATTCTTATATAGTGAGTACTTTAAAGGCTAATGAAACATTATTTGAGATATAAGAGAGAGGAGGTGAAAGATTCAGAAGTTAGCTTTGAGTGCTACCAGAAGTCGAAGAGAACCAAGGCCACTTGGAGATGGCATGATCTTGACCAGGCAGCCCTGAGACGCGCAGGGCAGCAGACACCTTTTACCTGGGGCCCTCTTACTGAGAGGGCGAAGGGGTAGAGGACATTTATTTTTGCCTTGCATCTGCAAGAACATTAAATGCAATGGTGGGGGCCAGGGAGAGTTGCTCAATCTACTTGAAAATAAACTTTGCAGTCTAACTTGGCAAATAACACATTGTCAATCCCCAAAAGGCTCTTTCAGATCCGGCAGCCTGGCTGGTACCTGGCCACACCCACTCATTCTTTTGAGTTCCTCCCTTCAATTTACTTTCTCAGCTGTTTGGGCGTCTACCCTAAAGTTTCCTGGTGGGGCTGGAGAAAGTGAGATAATCGAAGGCACAGGAAGCTCCCAGCTGCAGGAGCAGGTTAAAGTGCAGCTTTAGGAAGACCAATTGGGTGGAAGCTGGAGGGCAGGCCAGCCAAAGTGCTGGGAGTTCTGGGAGGTGGAGACAAATTCCTTCTAACTCAAGTCAGGGAAGACTTCCTGAAGGAAGGGCATTCGAGCGTCCTGGAAGGCTGAGCTGATTTGGACCTGCAGAAAGAGTGGGGGGAGGGGTTCCAGAGCCAGAGTTGAGGATGCCAGGAGGGTTCCAGAGGAGGAGGTGATAAGGACAAACGGGATGGGGTGGCTAAGAAGGAATCAGATCTGGCTGGAATGGCAGAGCCCCCTGGGGGTTTCAGCAGGAGCCAGAAGAAACCTGGCTGACTAGAAAGGGCCTGACCTGTGGCCAAACCATGTTTCTGCTGGGAGGGCGCTGTGACCGGGCTGATCATTTTTACTCTTTCTGCTTCAGGTTCCATATTTTAAAAACCGGACAGCCACCCTACACTTTGTCTCCTTCAGGGTTAAAGTATATGAAAATGTTTAGAAAACCATAAAGCCCCATACTGTGGATGCACATCTTTCAAAGGAGTCTGATTCAGACTTTGAGCTGATTCAAAATAATTAAGGTCTCCTCGCTTATCAATACTTTAACCATCTTCATTCTCCTTCAATCACAACAAACAAAAAAATTACCATCGGTCTAAGATTTTAATGTCTTGGCAAGTACTCCCCTGACTGCCAATATCTGTTTTCCATTAACTCCCACCTGTGGCTCTAGATCTACTGAGGCCACACAGAACTACGTCTTGGGGTTAAATGTCACCACGGGGTTGGTTTCACCAATGAGGAAACAGCAGCTCAGAGAGGATGAATTTTGTGGCCAAGGTGGCACAGCTGCTAGCAGAGCCATGGATCCAACACCGTTCCTCACTTTTCCTTATTACAGCAGCACTTTTGACAAGCAGACAGTACTAAGAAGGGAGAGGTGCCCGGGAAAGCGCAAGCTCCCAGTGCAAAGGGGGTGTCCAAAGGAAGAGAGGCACATGATGCTGATGCCACAGTGAAGGGTAGCACTTCCTTCAGGAAACAGAATTGACCCAAGACTCTGGTCTGGGCCTCTGGGTCCCTCTCCAGCCTGGAGACGTGCCTTCAGTGAGGTGACCATACAAAAAATTTTCAACAGCATTTACTCGTAATTCTCCTTTTGCCTGAACTGTAGAGGCTGTCCCATTACCAGTAGGAAGAAGCCATCACCTAACAATCAGGGCTTAGACCGGCGGGCCACTGGTTTCCTGGAGGGCCCTGGCACGTGGCTCATGTGCTTGAGGATGGGGTGTGTGCTTGTGTGAGTCTACAGACTAGGGTTCAAATTTCAGCACTGACATCTTACTGTTTGACCCAAGCCACTTCGACCCTTAGTTTCCTCTTCTGTAAAATGAAAATAACAGTAAAAATCTCATAAGAGTGTTGTGATGATTAGATAGATGATGCATGTGAAGTGTTACAACAGTGTAAGTAGTATGTATATTTTTATGATAAACATTTATAAAAGTGCTTTGTGAGATGTTTTCTACTTTGGCAACATGTCTTTATTATCAATCCGTCGGCTTCCCCTTGATCTTCCTGGGCTCTATGGAGACCAATGTTCAGGGAAAATATAAAATTAAGGTGTGAACTCGTAAAAGCACGTGCCTTGTGCTCAAAGGCAGTCCTGAGACACTGTACAAGATGTAGCGCCTGTGACTCAGTCAGACGCCACTTGGTAGGTTTTCATTGCCCTGGCGACAGGCCCCTGCTTCCTCCCAGGAAGGGAGGCACTGGAGAAGTGGGGCAGCCTGCTCCAGCCTGCCAACCCACAGCCTGCCAGCTTGCTCAAGTCTCCAGAAATGTCTCTCTGGTTAAGCTGGGGAAGGTTCCACAGGGGCCCTGGCCCGGGATGGTGAGGGTTTGCTGTGGGATGAGTAAGGCTTCAGAGGGGAAGCCCACATGCCTGCTTCCTGCATCGCCCCAGTGTCCTCCTTGGGAGACTGGCGCCCTGGTCATGACAATCACTCCCCTGCCCCCATGCCCACAGCAGGAGCTGGCCCAGAAGAGGCCCGCCGAGTGTGCTGAGCCAAAACCCCAGAATTCAAGAACTTGGAAAGGGTTCAGCACAGCAGGAGAACCTGTGGGATCCCAAAACTGATAACCTGGTTCTTCCCATCTCAAGTCAGGGAGGGCTTCTTGTTGCATCTGGTCCGAGGCTGATGGGGAATTGTGTCAACTCAGACACAATGTGCAGTTTCCAGCACAGCCAGGGTTGTTTAGCTCTGGGAGGTGGGGCGTGGAGGGTAGAATAAAAATGTAGAAGCAAAAATAAACCCTTCCTCAAAGAAAGCCCTTACAATCATAAAACACTCAGAAGGTTCTCAGGAGAAATCACTGATGATTATTAACAATAAAAAGATGCAGTTGTTATAATAATAACAGTGTACATGTACACATATAATAATATTATTAGGACAGATGCCATGTAGTGAGCATTAATTATGTGCCTGGCGTTATGCTAAAGGCTTTACATTCCTTTCCTCATTTAATTATAAAATTCAATGTATTTGCTCATACACTCATGCAACAAATATCCAATGTGGCAGGCAGGGCACCAGGTAATGGGGACACAGGTGACAAAGACACAACCCCCGCCCTTTAGGGCTAGGGGGCAGAGATTGACAAGGACACTCTACTTAGAACACAATGCGACAGGCCTTGAGGATGGTCTGGAAGTGCTGAGGACTCATATAGAGTCCAGCTGACAAAGTCCCAGAAGGCTTCCAAGAGGAGGTTGGCAAGAGCAGGAGGGGACACTAAAGCTTGGCCATCGAGAAGAGAGCAGAGACGCCTCTGGCACTCTGAAGCATAAGACACGAGGCAGGTGCTAGGGCAGCAGACACAGGTGAGAGCAGGAAGGACTGAATTTGGTGCTGGGACTGAAAGAGCTGGGACTGTATTTGGGTCTGGGACATGGTGAGTAGCCAGGAAAGGGGAATGGGGCTCAGGCTGTCACTTTATTTATTATTATTTTAAAACTATATTTTTATTGATTTCAGAGAGGAAGGGAGAGGGAAAGAGACAGAAACATCAATGGTGAAAGAGAATCATTGATCGGCTGCCTCCTGCATGCCCCACACTAGGGATTGAGCCTGCAACCCAGGCATGTGCCCTAACTGGGAATCGAACCCTGACCTCCTGGTTCATAGGTTGATGTGCAACCACTGAGCCAAGCCTGAGCTCAGGCTGTCACTTTAGAAAGTTTACTCTGACTGCAGTGAAGAGTGCAGAGGGGCAGGCTGGGACATGGAGACACCAGAGCGGAGGCTGCTCTATGATTTTCCAGCTAAGAGCTGAGGCCTGACCCAAGGCGACAACAGTGAAGGGGGGCCTGAGTCTGATGTTTAGGCCACAGGGAGGTGAGGCCAGCGCTGGTGACTGAGGAAGAATCTGGGTGGCTCCTGGTTACTGGAGCAACTGGGTAAATGGGGGAAGGAAAACGGGGGGAGAAGAGTCAAGGGCAGATGAGCTCAGCTTGGGACATGAAAAACATCCGGGTGGAGGTCTAGGATCACTTGGCCACAGTCCTGCCCTCACCCATTTGGCTTCCCTGTTAATTAAGGATGAGGCATCTTAGATGTGCTGCAGATTTGTACTGGGAACTCACTCTCTGGGCTCCTGCAGGGGTAGCTGTGGGTGGTCAGTCTGGATTCTAAAATCTGCCAATCATATTCCTGGCTTCAGCATGGGGGTGGGAGGGTGTGATCTCCAGGACTCCTCCCTGCTGGGATGTTGTAGGATTTGGGATCAAGAAACTTATTTGTGGGCCACATGGGGGTGAAGGATTCTGGCTTATGCGAACAACAGGGATAATACAATGAACACTGGTCTACACAACTCACAGCACAAAAGCATTTGTGTAAAGCAGCAGTAACAATATCTGCAATTTCTCACTAACCTACCTCAGAGCAACTCTGTTAAAGTTTCATTTCTTAAGACATTCCCATTATAGTCATCATAATAATAGCTGACAGCTTTTGAACTGACAATGTACAGGCATCGTTCCAACCACTTAAGGTATATGGATTCATTTAATCCTCACCAAAACCCTAAGAAGTAAGCATAATTTCTTTACTGACCTCATTTTACAGGGAAGGAAACTAAAGCTCAGAAGGGTAAACATCTTGCCTAAGACCACACAGGATTAGGATGTGAACCAGGCAGCCTGGCCTCAGAGCCCATATTCTTGCCCTTGTCACTATATGGTTGCCCTAACTGATCCTGAGTCACATCCCTGGCTCTCTGCTTCTTTAGCAGAGGGCTCCTCCCACTCACTCCTAATAGGGGGAGTGAGGCTTCGTCACCAAGAGCCCTGGGTGTGCACAGGAGGTGAGCCCATTGGGTACCTAGCTCAAGGCGCAGGGCAGGCTCATTCCCAGCCAGGGCAGCGTCAGGGACGACAGGAGGTGCAGGCAGGCTGTTGTGGAACTCCCAGCGCTTCATCTGCAGCTGCTGCAGCCAGTACAGCATCACTTGCTTGTTGGCGGCCTGAGAAGCACAAGGGTTAGTTGGCAAGGAAGGCTCTGTGCTCACAGGGTGGCACTGGATGTGGGATGTGGGAAGGTCAAGGGAAGCTTGGTAAGTCTCCTTCCCAGAAAAAAATTTCACTGTGGCTGGGTGCCCACCTAGAAAACACCACCTGCTTTTTGGCCATAGAAGGTAATCAGGCTCTGGTCTCCCACTTAGAGGTTCCTTAACCTTTCTGGGCCTCAGTGTCCTCAGCTCTACTATGGTGATGATAACACTCATTTCATAGGACTGTTGTTATGAGGATGAAATGAGGTAAGGAAGGTAAAGTGGCCAGCATAGTACCTGACATACAGTAGGTGCTCAAAATGTGCTCACTGGGTAAAGGAATTTGGAGGTGCTAAGAGAGAGGGTAAGAGCTTTAAAATTCTGCCCTGGGTGGGGCCCAGGATACCATCACTGTCTCTATCTCTTTGTGCAACATCTCAATGTCTTAGCTGACTTTGTGTGGAATGGAGAGTCCCTTCTGTTTTAGGGATGCACTGAAGTCATGCCTATGATTGGGGACTGGAAAGCCATATGCACATCACGACAAAGTGGCACCCTCCAGGCATCCCCCAAACAGTTAATGGTTGATGCTGATTGTACTGGGTGGTACAAACACCTATTCTCACATCCTCTGGGTCACCAGATCCTCCAGGGAGGAGGCCGGGCAGGAGTGCTCAGCCTCTTCTACAGATGGAGAAACTAAGGCTCTGAAGCCGCTCTGGTTGGTCCCAGACCCTGGGTCTCCCACTTCTCCCACTCCCAGAGCTTTGTTGTAGTTTATGGCCAGGAGATGTGGCTTATGTGGCAAAGGCCTGCCGTTGTTTGGGCACAGAAGCTGGGCAGCTCGCTCGGAGTGGATGGTGAGTCTCACAGAGCTGCTCACAATCAAGGCCACATGAGAAAAGCAGCAGGCTACGGGCAACCAGGGCAAGCTCCTCCTTTTAAGAGGCTCACAGGTGAGGTGTGCACGAGGCCATGGGGGCTCCAAGAAAGAAGCCCTTGGTCTGTCGTAAAGATATCAAATAAGATAAAATGATGCCCACCATCTTCCTTTTCTATACACTTTCCCTGAGAGACCGCAGGCCTTCCCAGGGCTTCACCATGACGTTGCACTCACAAAGTCCAGCCCCAAAACAAACCCACTTTATTAAATCACTGGACAAGTATATATTGAGCACCTGCTATCTGTGTCAGGGAATGAGGGAGGCACTGGAGATACTGTGGTGAGCCAACACACATGCCTCTATCCTCTTAGAACTTAAGAGTCTACCAAGAAGGACAGACACCCGATGTCCTACTGTCTCCTCATCCTGGGTTCAACTCCTATCAGTGACTGGACCAACAGGCAGTCAGCCAGTTACAGGAGCCTCCCTGACTCCCCTCTCACATCCCTAGCCACTGTCTCACTCTGTCACTGCTCTAGCTCAGCCATCATTCTCTCGTGATCACCTCCTGATGGACTCCCTGACCCCCAGCCTTGCCTTCTTCTAATTTGTTCTCTACCCAATAGCCAGACTGAGCTTTCTAAGCATTCTACTATCACGGTGCTTCCTTGCTTAAAGCTCTTGACAATTTCCCACAGCCCCTAGGACAAAGCCCAAGCTCCCCGTCATAACTCATAATGCCCTGCCCTCCCCGTGGGCCTCTGTTCTCCCATTCCATCTTTTGGCTCCCTCTGTACCACAAGCTCTTGGAACCTGCCTGGACACTGGGTGGTAGCATGATTTCCCACCTTTGCTCATGGGGGTCTCTTGACCTGGAATAACATTCTCCCTCTTGTCTGCTGCTAGAAAACTGATGTCCTCTTTCAGGATTCAGATATCATCCCTTCTACAATGTCCTTTCTGGATGGACCCTCCCACTCAGTGGACCTGACCCATCCTGTCACCACACTTTTCTGGTACAGACTTCCTGTGTCTCTAACAGAACATTTTACTGTGCGTGCCAATCTCCGTCAGTCTCTCTCACCAGAGCTTAAGCTGTTTGAGCACCAGGGGGTAGGTGTAATTTGGCTCCATACCCAGTGCCTAGCACAGAGCCAGGCCTGAACACAGATCAATGGAATAGTAAAAGCCATGTGTTGGAGACCCTGTAGACAGCATTCCACCTGTGGGAGGAGACACCTGCAAACCACATGACCTGTGAAATGCCTGCCTTGCCTGGCCTGGAGTTCCTGGTTTCCATTATTTTACCTGGCCTCCCCATGCTGGCCTGGTTGTAAAGGAGAGTGGAGGCTGTGGGCTGCATCCAGGGGCCTCCACAGATGCCCAGGCTGGAGGTAAGGGTGGGGGGCTGGGAAGATGGGATGCGGTGGGGAAGGCTGTCTCCTGACACATTCGTAATTCAGAGCGTGAATCCTGGAACTCTTATTTCAAAGTGCAGATCTGTCTTTCCAATTAAGTTCTGGGGCACCTCCTCTTGGCTCCACCACCAAGTGCGTCCACCCAACAAACGTTGACTGAGCACCCTCCAGGTACCAGGTGGTATTCTAGGTGCTGGGAGTATTTCAACAATGTGTAGGTGCCTTTGCTGTTCCAGACGCTTCACATATCTTGTTTTAAATCTCAAAAACTACCTACATTCCGAGAGGTTACGGGACTTGCCCAGGGTCATACAGCTACTAAGCAGCTGACTTAGAATTTGAATCCAGTCCTGTCTGACGTCAAAGCACATGGCCTTTCCACCGCTTCAGGCTCTCTGGGTCAAACAGGATTACACAAAACCTACTGGGAGGGGAAGCAAGCTTGGATGTGCCCGGATGCACAACCTGAGCTGATCGGTGAAACCTCAATGTTGACCTCCCAGTCCCTGCCAACATTTTCTCAGCATCCATTCCTTCCGGCCAGAACATCAAGGAAAGTGATTTGGAATCTAGGTCTCGAGAGAGAGGACTGCAAGCTCCTATGCTGACTATCCGTCAGCCCCAAGTCCCCGAAGTTCTGCTGCGGTACTGGTCCCGAGAGGAAGTGAGACTATGAGATCCCAGGAACCGGCCCCACACACGCTGTCTGGGCGCCCGAGGCGGGGCCGGTCACTCCATCTCTCTGACTCAGTTTCCTGACCCGAACTGTGGACCCCACACTCCTGCCTTTGTTGTGGGAACCCAGCGAGGAGCTGGGCGTGAACGCGCGTCCGAAATCCCAAAGGCCTGGGCACCCAGGGTTCACGGGGCGATCAGGACCGGGGATGATTTTCCCGGTAAGTTTACTGTGACCGCCCCCCGGCACCCGGCCGCGCCCGAGTAACCCATCCCTGCTTCCAAGGCGGAAACCGCCCCATTTACCTTCAGGGTAATAATCCGGCCGGGAGTCTTGATTTCGAAAGTTCCCTCCTCGGCGTCCGCCTTGCAGTCGAAGACCGCACTGGCGAGGTCGATGCTGTCCAGGGGGTTGGCATCCTGCGCGGTCCGCGAGTAATACAGGTGACATTTCCTCTCGTCGTAGAAGAACCAGCGGGACTTCCAGCCCCGGATGGGCCCCTTGCCGCCAAACTTGCTTAAGTATCCACAGAGTTTCTTGGGGGCCGTCTCCGGGGGCCGGGCGCAGCCCTCCGACTCCTCGGGAGGCAGCACCTCGGGGCCCCCGGCCAAGCCGGCAGGCTCTCGGGACCCGAGGGCAGGGGAGCTAGGCTCCGGGGGTTTCTCCCGGGCGCCCTCCATCGCCGCTCTGACAGCGCAGGGTCCAGAGGACCGCAGCCCGACTTGGGACGAATCTCGGAGCCTCTCAGGGCGATCCCGGCGCGAGCGCGGGCGCAGTGGTGACCCGCGGCGGTAAGCGCGCCTCACCGACCGAAAGCCCAGTAGGGCGGCGGGCCACCCCCTCCCGCCCCTCGGAAACCAGGCCACGCCCACCGACACGCCCCCGCAGGCTCCTCCTGCCCCGCCCACTTCCGGGTTTTGCACCCGCCAGTCAGCCATCTTAACTGAGGGCAGCGGCCGGGCCTGAGGAGGACCTCTGGCTGGAGGCGTGGTGTCACTGAGCTCGGTTAACGGGCGGGAGAGGAACGGGAAGGGACGCCTGTCACTGACTGGACTGTCCTGGTAGCTCGCGTAGTAATGTAGGAGGATAGGGCCTCACGCCGAGGGGCCGCCGCCCTTTCTCCCCAGGCGCCGCGCGGGTGTCCGTCGGTCGGCGCATCGCGCGCCCATTGGCTGAGAGAGACGCCACTTCCGGTGTTGCCGGGCGTGTGGGGCTCGTGGGTTCGGCGTCCACCTCTTCTCTTCGCGTTGGTTCTGCGCCTTCGTGGCTCTCAGCCGAGCGCGGCGGCCTCCCCCTCCGGTCTCCCAGCCCCAGCTCACCACCTTCCGGCGCCGGTTGCATAATACAGGGCGCCCGGCTGGCTGCTGCGCTGCTGGGCGGGGTTGGGCTCAGTAATTTTGTACGAACTAATAAAGAATAAATGTACCCAGACCCCAACTCGCTCAACTTCCCGCCTCATTCCACTCTCTTGCCCTTTACTCGCCCCTTCCTTCCTGTCTAGGGCGCGTTCTTCCATTTGGGCGGTAGAACCCATTTCCGTCCACCCCTCTGGCCCTTTCTTAGCCGCTTCTCTCCCTTTAGCTGACAAATATGTTCGATATAGCATTACTTATTATTTCAAAAAAACTGGAAGGAATATAAATGACCAAAAATCTGAAATTGGTTAAGTAACTGATTGGGTACTTTTTGCAGAAGGATATGGAATTCTACGGAAAATATTAGGTTGAAAAAGCAGGCCACAAAACTATTTTCGCAAAACTTATTTAGGTAAAAATAGTATGTTTATGACAGTAAGGTTGGAAAGATGATGTGTAATATTTGAGTTTTAGGGACATTAGGAACTCCTGTTGACCTAAATGCATTAATTGCTGTATATCCTAATGGATACACTTCTGGTAATTACATCAAAATAGAGTTAATATCCCTCCCCTCCTCGTGGAGGATGTTGTTAGCTGCAGAGCAAGCGGTTGTCCCGAAGTGCCACCTAGTGGCCGTTGTGGTGTACTGCCCTTGTCCGCATTAGGTGTTTCCAAGCTTTTTTGTCAAAGGGCTTAAAAGAGGCACTCAGGAATAACCCTCCCACAGCAGAACCCAAACAGGCAGGTTAATAATCTGACATCCTTAAAAAAAACGTATCTTACATGTTCCTTCAACACACTTATTTAGTGAAGGCAAGAGAAACAGATTATCAACAAAATCCTGTGTTTCTTCATGTTCAATAAGGGTTTATTACATGCTCTAACGAACATTATATTTTAAGTTATTTGGAGGTGTTTTCCATGTTGAAGTTTTTCTTCTCTTACTATGGGATAGTTTTAATTCTCTTGTGAAGGAAAGAGTACAGTCTTATTGAAAATATGTTTAAAAATGTTAGGATTTGCCGGAAGCCGGTCTATCCTTGCTGTTTGACACAGTCGCTGCAGGGAAGAAACATCTGCACAGCATATGTTTCAAGGGACCTGGCGTATATGGCATACTGTTCTTAGTATGTTTGCTCCCCTTCTTGGCGCTATGTGTTTTAACCAAGGTCACCTCTCCGAGAAAGGTTGTTTCCCCAGATAGGGATTTTTCCCTGAAGTTAGGGAGGGAGTAAAACCTCTTAACTAAGTGCCAGGTGGGTAGTTAATCACTTTAACTATGAACAATCACGATTAAGCTACATAATCTTTACTCCCTGGAATGGAGATAAGAAACGCCCTAACCTTTGGAATAGAAATTGATAGGATTAAAATCAACTGGTATAAATACAGATGTAATAAGACAATAACACACAGAACCTGGCTGGAGATCCTGGCTACAGAACCTGGCTAGGCTGCTGATCAACTGAACGCTGCCACTGTGTCATTCCTTCTTCGCTGACTCCGTCCATACCTTTGGGAACCCCTGGACCTGCTGGGGTTGGACCCCAACAAGGCTTGGTTCAGGATCTAGGGCGCCATGAGGGGCGACAGAGGCCGAGGTCGTGGCGGGTGCTTTGGTTCCCGAGGAGGCCCGGGAGGAGGGTTCAGGCCCTTTGTACCCCACATCCCATTTGATCTCTATTTGTGTGAAATGGCCTTCCCTCGGGTTAAGCCAGCACCTGATGAATCTTCCTTCAGTGAGGCATTGCTGAAAAGAAATCAGGACCTTGCTCCTAATTCTGCTGAACAGGCCTCTATCCTTTCTCTGGTGACAAAAATAAACAATGTGATTGACAATTTGATTGTGGCTCCAGGGACATTTGAAGTGCAAATTGAAGAAGTGCGACAGGTTGGATCATATAGAAAGGGAACAATGACTACAGGGCATAATGTGGCTGACCTGGTGGTAATCCTAAAGATTTTGCCAACGTTGGAAGCTGTTGCTGCCCTAGGGAACAAAGTCGTGGAAAGCCTAAGAGCACAGGATCTTTCTGAAGTTTTGACCATGCTGACCAATGAAACTGGCTTTGAGATCAGTTCTTCTCATGCTACAGTGAAGATTCTCATTACAACAGTGCCACCCAATCTCCGAAAACTGGATCCAGAACTCCATTTGGACATCAAGGTGTTGCAGAGTGCCTTAGCAGCCATCCGACATGCTCGCTGGTTTGAAGAAAATGCTTCTCAGTCCACAGTTAAAGTTCTCATCAGACTTCTGAAGGACCTGAGGATTCGGTTTCCTGGCTTTGAGCCCCTCACACCCTGGATCCTTGACCTACTCGGGCACTATGCTGTGATGAACAACCCCACCAGACAGCCTTTGGCCCTCTATGTGGCATACAGGCGTTGCTTGCAGATTCTGGCTGCAGGACTGTTCTTGCCAGGGTCAATGGGTATCACAGACCCCTGTGAGAGTGGCACCTTCAGAGTACACACGGTCATGACTTTGGAACAGCAGGACATGGTCTGCTACACAGCTCAGACTCTGGTCCGAATCCTCTCACATGGTGGCTTTAGGAAGATCCTTGGCCAGGAGGGTGATGCCAGCTATCCTGCTTCTGAAATATCTACCTGGGATGGAGTGATAGTGACACCGTCAGAAAAGGCTTATGAGAAGCCACCAGAGAAGAAGGAAGGGGAGGAAGTGGAGGAGAATACAGAAGAACCACCTCAAGCAGAGGAGGAGGAAAGCATGGAGACTCAGGAGTGACTCCCTTCTCTCCACCCTTTCTTACCCAAGGGGAAGATTGGGGCTGAGCTGACTGCTCCTGGGCTCTATATGGTGGCATTTCTGAGGGCTGGGGGAGACAGGAAAGAAAATAAAAATAAACCACAGAAGTAAAAAAAAAATGTTAGGCTTTCTGGTGAACAAAACATCATGATATACTTCCTAACACACCTACTTTTGAGTAATATCATTTTCAATTGATAAAACCCAAGGATTCATGTTTATTTGGCATATTATTTTCAAATAGATAATGTTTATATGACTGAGCCTCATGGAAATTCAGTTCTACACACCAAGCACATGTTTTACAGCACTTAGTCCTATAAAATATTAAAAACAGATAAACAACATTTAAACATGACATTCAAGGTCAAAATGGGCTCCCCAGCTACTTGGCAGGATCGTTGTAACAAATGTCTACTCCATCAGTCCAATTTTATATGACTGAGCCTCATGGAAATTCAGTTCTACACACCAAGCACATGTTTTACAGCACTTAGTTATAGAATCTTGAAAGAAATGACCTGACAGTGCATACATTGAACATGTTCTATTTTATATCCCATTTCAAATTCTGAATGTAAACCAGATTATACAAAAGGAATGTTGGTTCCAGGGAAACTTGCTTTTAAATTTGTTTTATTTTAAAGAATCAAATAACATGAGAGAATATTTTTAGTTTAATTTTCACAAATTTATAAGCCAGAGGAATAAAAAAAAAAACTAGACTTCTGTGTTTTATGTTCTTGGTATGCTTGGTAAGAAATACAGGAGCATCATTTAATGGGTGGGGAGAGAAAATTCTCATGGGAAATTAAATATCAAATCTTGGTGGTACCTTCATCACTTCTTCTCTAGTGTCCCAGAGTTAGACGGTCTGTATTTGAATTCTGGCTCTATAATCACAGATGTCTGACCTTGGACATAGTTACTTAGCCTCTCTGCCTGAGTTTCTTCATTTGTATAGCAGGATAATTATGGCACCTACCGCATAGTGTTATTACATGATTATGTGAGGTAAACCACATAAAGTGCTTACACAGTGTCTGGCCCATAGAAAGCATTTGGCAAGTGTTAGCTACTAGAATTAGCATGAGTTCTAGGAATCCTAGGGTCTTTGAGCTGGTAGGGACCAACATTCATTTGTACCAGATCATTTTCTAAACTCTCTTATTTTTATTCAAGATTCTATAAACACTATAAAACATGCTTGGCATGTGGTTACCCTTGGTGGGGATGGGTAGTGGGGAAGATGGTATGAGGATTTTCCCCTATTGAGGTGGAGAGGTTATTTGCAGCAAGAAACTGGGAGAGGGAAGGAGTTAAATTTGACACTGCCTCCATCCTAGAATTTTCCCTCCATCCCTCCTCCCTCCTTCCTTCCCCACCTTTTCTTTTTTTCTTTTCAGCCCATTGTCTCATCAATTTATCTATAAAATCTCTTGCCTCATGGAAATGAGATTTTACTATTTTTCTCGGGACTAGAGCAGATGCAGATGAGATTTGGCATTTACTTCTGTTTCTTGCAGAAAACCTTTTCCCAAAGTATGTTCAGTCTCAGCTTGTTGTGTGCTATTTGTCTTTATGCTGCAGAATCTTCATAGACTCTAATGGATGTTTTTTTACTGTCCAGGAAAAGGCATATTTTATTGAAGTATATAATAAACGATGTGTGATTTCTTTATATACATACTAGTATATG